AACAGGGGATGCAGTACCTCTCTTTGGTTCGCATCCATGCTGGAGACCTGATTTCCCCAACAAGCCTCGGTTACCACCGGTACGACTTGGAGACAATGGAACGAGAATCCCATATCACGGGATACATCGCCAAATATCTTCCTGCTGAATACCAAGAGGCCTATCAAGCTGATGTGCAGACGCTGAGGTCTCAGTTTTTTGCTGAAGACGGCAGACTTAACCTGGCCTCGGCGACGTGGGAGGTATCTTACAATCACCTCATGGCCGCCACTTCCTGAGCCAAGTGAGAAGAGGAGATGCTCCCTAAGCAAGAGCTCCTGTAACAAATAGAGGAGTTTCTCCCTCGTTAGGCGTAGAGCTGGCGGAGTTACTCCCCAGGGGTTTTTGAACTAAAGAGTCACAGGTGGAGCTTCTCCCCTAGTTGGTGGAGCTTCTCCCCCAACGAGGGGTGTACAGCTGGCGGAGTCTCTCCCTAGGGGTTTTTAAAAGCTTTGAGTCGCTGCCTGCAATAATTCTGCCTGCACTGAGCTACACTGAGCCAACAGCAATCCACCATCCGTGATGCAGGTCTCCTCGTGGTGGTCTGGAGCTCAGTGGCCTAGCCCAGCTGCCTGCTTAGAAGCTAGCTTGAGCCAACAACCGCAGCTTTTTCTCAAGACTCAGCATCATGTCCAGACCTGAGTCAACACAGGATCCCTCGTTTCAAGCGGAGTACGAGGAATTCTGCCAGCGACGGATACGTGAACAACTTCCGCATGTCACGTATCGCAATTTCCTGCGCCAGTGGAGGCGCTCCGCTCGTGCTCACGGCGAAAGCTATCCTGCATATAAAGGAGTCTCTAAAGGTACTGGTGGACAGGAAGAGCTGGGAAGCGGAAAGGGTGGAGTCACTCCCCCTCCTCCTCCTTCCAAGAAAAGAAGTACAGGGCAAAGCGAGGGTGGAGATACTCCCCCAGCAGCAAAGGCCAAGAGTGGAGATCCTCCCTCGGGGGACCCAAACACGGAAGCTGCGATCAAAGTTCTTCAGTCAGCTGGTTATACGCCCTTTCCCAGTCTGATCTCAGACTGTGATGGGAACATCACTGACCTGAACAATCACCGAATTATGGTGACAGTAACTCAGCAGCTGCGAGATGGCCTCACTCAGGTGGAACGACCCTCCCCGGAGATAGCCAATGCTCTCCTGGAGACCTTCCTGGCCTCTCGCCGGGGACTTGCCAATGAGCCTCTGCAGCCGAAGCTTGGTTATCCCACAGCTGAGGAGAATGGGTGGTTTCGATTTGAGTATTCTTCACCTAACATTCTTCCCGCAGGGGACAGCGAGGTTGCGTTCCACGGCACACACCTGGAATGTTTGCATGGGATACTGGCCACAGGCAGGCTACTACCTTCGACACCTGACCTCTCCGGCACGCGAAGCTTCGAGGCACGACCAGGAGTGTATCTCCACAGGATGTCAAACAGGCATCTTGCTGCCGGTTACAGTTGTCTGGTGAGGATAGGACCTCGGCACATATTCGCGCGGCCCATGTTTGAGGTGGAGGCTGCGCACTCTGGATCGCAAAAACGTGGTAAGAAAACAAACCAACTGATATACTCCTATGATGCAGTCAAAATCCGAGCGCTGCTACTGCAAATATCAACCAAGGAGACACTCACCTTAGGTGAGTACCTCCGAGAGTGGAGTGGCTTGTTGGAGATACCACTGAGACAAGCACGGGAATCCTTCTTGGCGTTGGGATACGAACTGTCTGGCGAAGCCTCGTCAAGTGGAGTCAAGGAAGGAGGAGTTGCTCCCCTTCCGGTTTATGAGCAGGCGTCCAGCTCCCAGGGTGGAGTTACTCCCCCGACCGTGGCGTCAGAGATCGCCCACAGCTCAACAACGCCACGTAGCTCCACTATAGTGGCCTGGGAGGGCCAACCAGGCGATCTAGGGGACTATTGCACTGCCTCTACGAAGCCGGAGACCAGCTTCTCGTTCGAAGTCTCGAAGGCTCTAGCAGCTTCGCTCCGGCACGGACATAAACCCTACATCAGCGTCACTTCAGCTGGTTGGGCCAAATTAGAGGACGTCCTGAGATGGCCAAGAGTGCAGGCCCAGCACGCCACGGCAGGCGACCTCATGGAGGTCGTTCGGAGTAACGCAAAAGGCAGGTACGAGCTGGGCGATTGCCAAGGCCAGAAGTACATCAGGGCACTGCAAGGACATTCTCGCTCTGATGTGGACTCCAAGGAGGTGTTGGAGGAACTCACGGAGGAGATGCTCCCCAGAATGCTGTATCATGGCACATTCTGGTCCTTGTATGACTCCATACGCCAACGAGGCCTTCTGCCTCAGAACAAGATTTCCAAGGGCCGCGGCAAAGGCGGACGTGGCAGAGAGGGACGACAGCATGTTCACTTCGTCTCGGATCGGGACTATGGGAGACCTGGTGTTTCTGGATTCAGAGATAGCTCGTCGATGCTGGTGGCGGTCGATCCACGCAGAGCCATGCAGGTAGGGGTGCAATTTTTCCGTAGCAAGAACGGCGTCATTCTCACCCCTTCCGAAGTGCCCCCTTCTGTCATAGAATACTACCAGAGCCTGAAATCAGGTACTAAGTACGGAGGCGACAACAGGCCGCTCTGATCGTGAGGACCCTCACCTAATGGTGGAGTCCCTCCCCACACTGATAATTCAGCTGCTCACGCAAAAATCTATGTTATGAGGCTGAAGGTCACTTCAATTTCATCCCCAGACAGCAAGTATACCCCGAGGTCGCATGTGAAGCTCCGTGCGAAGTCGTGGGCCCGGATCTGCAAGTGAGTTGTCAACCAAAAGTTTTCTGGAAGCTCTACTTGCCTTCTCGTACAGGCTCAACTCACCAGCTGTCTCGACTGTAGAAGCCATGCCTGAAACACCGAAGAAGAGTGGCAACAGAGCGACCTCCCGAACCCCTCCTCCAGTGCGACGTCGGCCCCACCTATCCAGGTCGCCGCCAGCCAGTGACTCCATTCGGGAGTCCGACTCCGAAGACACAGCAGCCCCTAAAGCAGCCCCCAAAGCAGCTGGGCCTAAGGGCCCGCCGCCTCCGATGCCTGTTAACCTGTCAGGAAGTGGATCTAGCACAGATCGGACATCGGGACCAGGTAAGGCACTGGAGTGCCAGCGAAAGGTGGAGTCCCGGGAGGAGTTTCTCCCCTGGGACCACCGCCAAAGGCTGTGACCTCAACGATCTCCCATCCAGGGACAGGAGAGCTTCATGTCACCAGCACAAGTCCGGCAGGAGTTGCTCCGCCATCTACAAATAGCAACAACGGGCTGGAAATGGCGCCTGGCCTGCCATTACTGAGTGTTTCATTGCCTCACCGCCTCTACTATAACATAGAGCTAGTGGTTCGTACCGAGCCTTCACAGCGAGGCTAGACACTCTCGCGAGACGGCAGTGTGCAAAATGGACGTTGCCAATCAGTCAGCGATACATTGCAAATCAGCCGGTTAACTTATTCATTAGTGCCAGAGTCTGCAGCTCGAGTCACTGAAGACACGTCCGATTCCGACTTCATTGCTTGCAGCCTTGAGGGGCGGAGCGTGTGCGAGTGCTGTGTTAAGGCACGGCTCGTCATGAAGTGACCGCGCGAGTAGCAAGCAGAGCAGCAGGTCGATCCCTCGCAAAGCGTGGACGTCAAGTTTCACCTCAGACAGTATCCTCCCGCTGCGTGTGAATGAAATGTTGTTGTTGCTGCTGCTGTTGTTGTTGTTGTTGTTGGATGTGGAACGCTTCAAGGATGCGTCGGCAGAAAGATCTAAGCTTTCCGGCTTTTTTCCATTCCTTCGCCGCGAGCCATTTGCATTCTCTAGCTTCGCGAACATTCGAACCTGGGTTCGGGGAACTCTATGAACTCTGGGTTCGGAGAACTCTCTGTTCGAATCCTGGGTTCGCGGAACTCTAAGCTTTGACGGCTGTTTTTCTCAAAGTTTTCTTTCTATTTGCAAACCTTTCCAGTCATGCAATCCAAGAGGAAAACCATTTTTTCTGTGTGACAAAGAACGCTACTCCCGGTGCAATTTTGCCTGGAAATGCATGGAGTCGAATGAGCCCAATCAGAACATATCTCTTTTTGCGATGTGATTTTCCCGCAGGTGAAAGGTTCGTTGTCCGTTTGCGCGCCACTCTGCCTGTCTCAGTCTTTCTTTTGAAGGGTACCATAGATCACGTCATGACAACAGCCTGCATGTGCTTTCCGTTGCTTACCTTCGGTTGCACGGCATTTGTCACAGCTTGGCTCAGGGAGTCGGATCGAGGTAGTTGGGTTTCCATGTTCAATGGTTTCTGTGTGTTTGGCAAGGCCCAAAATGGAGGCTGTGGTTATGTGGCCTTCAGTCTTCGGTTATGTTCGCCGTTGACGACATGCCGTAACTGTGGTTGCTGAACGTCGTCAAGTTCGTCAAGGCCCTCACGTTTTCCTTCCTATGCATCCATTGTTCATGAAGGTCTTTGTCGTGTAGGTGTGGGGGTGTTCGCTGGTCGGGGACCGGTTGCGTATGGTCTCCGCAAGCCATGGCAAAAAGACGGACTGCAGGAGCATCATGTCTGCATTGCAACCCCAACAAGGCCAAGTTTCGGACCAAGCGCAGCCCAGAACAGGTCATGTTGGAACTTACCACAAGTTTCAATGCTTGGATGCTGATGTGCCAAAAATTCATAGAATCCTTAAAACAACATCGGGTGAAGCCAACGTCCCAATGCGTTACACGAAAACACAGCACAGCAGTCGAATCCGACCACCAATGCAATGAACAGGGCAACGAAGCAAGAAGTTCGACCCGAAATCTATTTGGGTTCGCACTACAAAAGCGCACGTCACGAAGCTCACGTTGCAAATCATTACCAAGACCTCGTTCATTGAATATAGCCCCGACGCATTACGCCACAGGTTAACACGCTACTGGTAAATCTTACAGAGTTTGCCGGTCAAAGCCTACATGCAAGTTGGTAGTTGTCAGGGCACGGGGGAGCATGGGAGTTGACTTCTGTGTTCAAGGATTGGGGGATCAGAGCCCAATCATCTCACTTCGGCCCACGTGCGTGAAGCTGCATACCCAGGTACGATAGTTCCAATGTCGGCCAGGAAGAAGAAAGTGCTGGGGCCCCGGAGGCGAGAGTTTTTCCTTCGTCCGTGTCCGAAGGCCTCGTAGATGGCTGCACTGATGGCACAGCAGAGGTCCACCGGGCTGGGCGCCCTGCAATGGCAGCGGCAGCTCCCGCTCCTCAGACTCAGCACAGCTTCGGACGCGGGGAGGGGAGGCTTCGGCTTTCGGCTTCAGATCGGGCCATCTTGAGTAGAGTTGGCTGTTGATGTCAGCGGGACACCTTGAGACTGAAGGTGTTTCCGACTTGTATAAACGTCTTGAGGAACGCACACATCGCAGAGCCTTGTTCCATCGACCCCATTGCATTACCCAGCCCTGAGCCCAAGCCCGAGACACTTAGGTTTTCGGCGAGCGCCCTGTTGTTGCTTGCGTCGCTCCCCATGGCGTCGGGGGCCCGGTCCGGCGGCAAGTTGGTGAGATTGTTTGATTGCTATGCTGCTGTTCTTTCCGCCGTTTTCAGCGAGGCTGAGCTCCACTCTCTCCGGCATTTCCCACGTGTCGGAATTCACCAATGCACTTTGGCCTGAGAATTGCAGTTGCGGAGGGGGCCCGAGGCCAAACTTCTGAAGGTTTTTGCGTAAATATCGAGCGCTTGGGCTTGGTTGGGGCTTAACCTCGGAATCTAGGACCCAGGGTTGAGCTGGAAGAGCTGTGGCCACAGCCAGGGCGTGCCGTACCAAGCGCCTCTTATCGAGCCGCTCAACCGGCTCGGTGTGCAGGACAAGGGGATGCAGCAAAGCTTCGAAGGGCGTTCTTGAGCGATGCTCCGATCACAAGCAGTATTCTCGCAGAGGAGGTTGAACCCTATGAGCCCCAAGTTATAAAGATTCTCACTGGAAGCTGGAGCAGCTGGAGGCTGCTGTGCACTTGTGCGGCTCAACGCTTCCAGGAGGACACGGCTGCGAAGAACATGTCTCAGTTCGTCCACATTGGTTGCTTCATCGCGGGAGCCTCGGAGCAGCCGCCAGTGCCCTGCAGAGCCCAAGCCGACTAAGCCGACTGCATGGCTGTCGCTAGGCTTCCATGGGCATCACGAGGGACGCGGAGCAGGCCACTGAAGTTGCTGGTACCAGGTCTTCGAAAGGGTCTGAACATGTGTGGGAGGGCCTCTTAAACTCGTGTCTTGTTGCTTCGGCTGCTGAGATTGCCAGTGAGGGGTTGAAAAACACCCTCCCTAGCTCTCTGTGAAAAGACCTCCGAAGAGGACACGCACTTCGACCCGAGCGCCTGCGTGGATGCAGCAGCTTCAGACTCTCTTTGTCATTTTGGGTCTGCCGGCTTTGTCGGTGTCTTGCAAAGCTTTGAACCGAGAGATCGCCAGAAGCTTTGACCCGTTTCCTCTCAGCGATCTTTTCTTAGCTGCATTTGCTTCCCAGGTCTGTCGGAGCCGCTATCCTAACGCAGCCCTCAAGGCTTTGAGGGGCAGTCCGTGCGTGTGGATCTGCGATTTCAGCTTGCTGTTCGGCTTTGGTGGGGACATGTGTGTCGGAAGAGCCGTTGTCAAGAGATGTCTTCAACCCCCAGCTCGAACTCCGAAACTCAGCCGTCCAAACGCAAACACCGGTGCAACCTCTGAGCTGTTGCAGGACATCGCGGTAGCTGTGCATGGTCCGCGGTGTGGCTGTGCGCTAGGAGCTCTTTACGATGCCAGGGTCTCGATGGTCTTTGCTTAGTCAATCGGACGCACAAGCAGCATCTGAGACCATCCGCACTCATCCTACCCAGACCAAAAGCCCGAAGCCGCTGCCGAGACCTTCACCGAAGCCGACCCCAGCTTCTGTACTATGCAGTGCAAGTTTTTCGAGAACCCCATTTGCGGGGGCTTGCCCTCCTTTTGGGGAGCCCGGCACCCAGTTGGCAGGGCCTTGCGCAATGTTCGGGGTGTCAAGCAACTCGGAGGGTTTTCTCAGATGACGGGGTCATTTCGCTTTCGCTGACGTTGTTGCAAAAATTCACTCCTGGACGAAGGTTTTCGTTCAGTACGACTTTCAATCCTACGCCTCCCATGGGGCCTACGACCCATGGCGGAAGATTTGGCGCCCTGGCAGAGGGAGTGCTTGCCAGGTGATCGACGTACTGGTCCGGATCATGTTCATGTTCAGATGCAGTGTAATGTCTGGTTTTCGCTCGAATGTTGAACTAAAATACGTAGACAGTATCGCTCCGCAACACAGCCTATGCGCGAACATGGGCATTCCTCTCCGGCCACGATCACCCCTTCACCACACATGTCGAGTCCTTGCACTCAGGTACTCGATCGTCGCTGTGCGCGAAGCCACGATTATCGGGGATGAGGCTCCGGGCGGCAGTCCTGTCGTCAAAAACCGAAAGTCTGATCTTACGAGTCTGTTCCACTCCTCGTCCCCTGTGTGGCCATACTGGCTTTTCCGGCCAGGGCCAAGGGATTGAGGCCCAATCCCTTGGATCCGGTGTCTGAGGTTGAGCACCTGCAGCAATGTGTTCCACATTTACAGTTGAGCCCCAGAGCATTTCAAATCATGCCTTGTTGACCGCACCTGTGAAAGGCCTGGAATCCAGACAACCAGCACCCAGCTTAGCTTCATTTGCGACACGGCCTTTTCGAAGGATCATGTTGCGGACTCCGGAATTTCACTCACCGCCAGCCCCTTTTGATGTTCTACGACGCTTGAAGTCGGCTTGATTCGGAGTGTGGGCAGAGGCTCGGCCGCACTGCCTTGCCAACAATGATATACCCCAGCCTCAGTCCCGAATCAAAGGAGAAGGCGACAAAGAAAGCCCCGCAAGAGTCCGTCGGCACTTCCAGGTTGGATCCGGAGCGATACTACCTTCACGCCGCATCGGTCCAGACGGGCCAAGCAGCGCGAGGGCCTTTGCTTCGCCTGAGGGGGTCGGGAGCCAGAGAGACAGAGGCATTAGGACAGCTCTCTTCTCAAGCACCTTGCTGGTTGATGGAGTGCATGGAGGTCAAGCATCGGAATTGCAATGCTGCAGGAAATCTAGCATGACCACGCGCTTTTCGGTGATGCTGTGTTTTCCTCCAGCCGATGTAAGCCTCAAGAAGCGTCATGGGCTCATTTAAAGCATGCAAAGCTCGAAGCACACTTCTTGGATGCTGCACGTCTGAGAGTCACCGGCTCATGAGCGAGATGCAAAAGTGCAATGTGCTGTAACTCCCATCTGTCAATGAGCTTCTCAAGATCCTTTCGGCTCTTTGGCCTCAGTTCTTGTCGAGTAGAGTAGAGGGGTGAGCGTCAGCCAGAGATTTCATCAAGCCTCGAGCCCGGCTCCATAGTAACTGGCGGCCACCATGCCTATCGGCAGCATCCACTGCGTCGTCTTCGACCTGGATGACACGCTGTGGAACACTGCCACTGGGCCTCAGAAGACTTGATGTCACTGGAAGCTGTCAAAGGTGCAAGTTCCGTCGCTGAATGTAGCTGATTTCAATCTCTGCTGTCCAATTCCAGAGAAGTCCTAAATTGCTGAGCTTAAATGTTCGGAAGCTGTTCCGCTCCCTTCTTTCAGGTCCACACCCTGGAGAAGGCCCAGGAGGCTACGGGGCAGCTTGGAGGTTGCAGGAGAGCACGAGATTTTATCTTGCCTTGCATGCCCAGCCGGAGGTCATGAGCCAGGCGCTGTCGGCGAAGCGCCCGGAGCTGCAGACGGATGCCTTGACTTTCAAGGAGGCTAGACAACTGTACGCTCCTGAAACTTTTGGGATTGGGATGGTTCAGAGCCATGTGCAAGGCCCGGGATCCAGAGTCGAGAAACTTGAACAGGGCTTGTACAAGCAATCGCTTTGTCTTTCGTCTGAGAGGCTTTGTCAGCTTCTTTGTAGGTGCGTTTCGCCATTCGCTGCTCCTCGGATGCAGGAGATGCGGAGGGTGCAAGAAGAGCACCCAGAGAATCTTGGAAGCTGAAAATATCCACCTTCCTTCGTCTTGGCGAGGGGGATTCGCGTATTTCAAGGTGGACCAGGTTGTTTGTTTTCTTGTCGGCAGGCATGTCCGATATACTGGCAAGCAACCTTGAGTGTCGCAAGGCATTCAATTGATCCTGTGTGCGACTGGGAGGTTTGAATTCTCAATGCAAGTCCGAGACAGAGTTGACGCAGTTTGAATCCAATTCGGGGGGCAGGCAACTCTCGTCGATTTTGGTGTGCCATGGTGTGCCTCAGGAAGAAGCATGACTTCACCTTCTGCCGTCACGAAGTCCTGAGGAAGCTGACAGGCATCATGCAGGCTTTGCTTGTCTGGAGGAGATTAAGTCGTCGCTTGGTAAATCTGTTTACCCATGAGACGGCACAGACCGGTTTGCAGTGCTCATGAGGGGGATCCTCCTTCGCCCGTTGAGGAGCAAGACCCCTGTGTCCGCATCGCGTGTCAGGCGATGATCAGCTAGCAGAAGAAGTTTTCCAAATCTGGCACCGTCAGAGGTGGGCCAAGCAGTTCGCAGGGCTGTCTGTGGAAGCAAGCTTACAAAGGATGAAAGAGCGACATTTGCAGATCCTGCGGAAGTTAGTTCCATGCGCGTCGATTCGAAACTCATCATCATGCCTGAGCCTCTCTTCCAGTCCCGATTTCGGCAGGAACAGCCCAACACTGTTCCCTGGCGCTCTTGATGCAATCCGTTCGCTGAAGTCCAAGGCAGGTGAAAGGGAAGTCGCCAGTGGACCAGCTCCACTCAGTTCATCCTTGCGCTAGTCTTAGGGTCGACGCCTTCCGGCCGCCGGTCCAGTCTAAGGCGTAGAGAGGCTCCTAGGATGGTAAGGCTTAGCAGGCTTAGCAGTCTGGCCGGAAGGGCGTTTCCATTGGCACGCTGACGGATGGCAATGCCAATCCCTTCACAATCGATGGTCTGCCGCTTGTCTAAAGGGATTGGGGCTATCTATATTCTATTGGCCCTTGGACGTGAGACCCAGAAAACGGCGAGTCAGCGAGACTGAGACTCTCAAACCCTCAATTGCGCCCGTTTTTCTCGTTCGACGTCGAATGTTTCACAGCGCCCAAGCCCTGAAAGCAGACCCCGAAGCAGCACTTAGGAAGGACGTCATCGATTTTGCCGTGAACGCCGTCGAGGTGCGGTTATCTCAAAGGTTCGATCAGCATTTGGATTGAGCTCCGAAAGAAGTGGACTGGGCTTCTCGATCTGGCCAGAGGGCTTCCCAGAGCGAAGCGGCTTGCACGCAGCCCTTCCCACAAAAAGACTTTAGGGAAGGTCCGGCCAGGTGGGCCCAAGGGAAGCCGCAGCTTTGCAGTTGCCAAAAGGCCCCTTCGAAAGAGCAGCGCCAGGCTGGTGCTCCCAAGCCCGATCGGCGAATGTTTGCGCTGCCTGACTTATGGTAGCACAGCAATTCTCCGTAGGTGGGAACAGGAGGATTCAGGGTTTCGCAACAGGTTGAGGAGCATCTCCCGGGTGTTGAATACCACTGAGTATCTGCAAGTTTGCTCGATGCTACCGGCTACCGCTGGAGCCCAGAGAGCTGGAGAGCCCTGCAGAGCCCTGCTGTTCCCTTTTGCGATCGTCCTCTCGCGAGGCTCTGCGAGAGCAAAGCCGGCCTGGGCCCGGAAGCCATGGCCGGGGGCCCGGCCATTGGGGCCACTGGGGCCCCGGGTGGGGCGGCGGGTGGGGCGGCGTCTTTTTCGGCCATCCCCTTTTGCAGCTCACATCTTCGCATCAGTGCGCTTGTGCGGGCTTTCACGGGTTTCTGGTTACTGGAGCTTTTCGATGTTTCCGCCCAGTCGATTGTTTTTTCTGGCGAAGCTAGGCAATGTTGACACAGGTGGTTTGCGCGCTGGGTGAGATCTACGCATGTGGACAAGTGCTTGCTGTTTGCCACTACAGACCGTTCGTTGCGCTCGTTACCGATGGACGTCATGGACTCGAACTTTGCGGCCACTGTCGTGGCAAAAGCAACCCCAAACTTCAAACTCCAAACACATGGTCTTGCAGATGCATGGGCTAAGTTGCAAGCATATACTTTGGACACGAGGGTGGATGTATGCGGCTTCGCCAGCGTCTTGGTGAGAATCCTGAATGTTGAAGACTCCTGACACTTTTGCAATGTTGCCTCATCCAGCGAGATGAATGGCCAGAGTCTTTTAAATGCTGCCAACATCGACAATGCGTAGTTATTTCTTCCAAAAAGACTGTATATGAGAGACATATGATGCATGTACTTCTTGAGCAGGTGCACACCCGTTGTAGCTCCCTGCTTGGCCCTGGCCCTGGATGGTCGCTTAAGAAGTCCCAGCGCTCAAAACTTTCCCTGTCCCCGAAATCTTGGGACTCCCAAAAGATCTCCACCTTTCGGACAAAGCCTCTGGCCAGGTTATGGTCGGCGACAATCCAGCCAAGGACGTGGAGGGAGCGCTAGATGCAGGCTTCGGGGCAGGGTGTTTCAAGGTCGACCGGCGCCGTGAAGGTAGTTGAGAACATGTTGACGTGAAACTCACGACCATGCAAAGCTGGAAATTTCGCGATCCCCGAAATGCTAAACCCTAAACGCCCCAACCGAATCTGCTCCTGCCGTCGTCGCAAGCTGAGAGGTTGGCGGGCCATTTGGGTAAGGCCGCCGGAACCGTCACCTGGATGCAAGTGGCATTGGGGGAAAGCAGTTGAGGCCAGGCGTGGTTTCGGGAACTTCCGCGAGTGAGCTGGCGTGCTTCGGGAGCTTTTTCAGTGCAGAAGCGGGGCGGGGGGTTCGGGGGGTTGGCAGGGCCTTGCTTGAATGGATTTCCAGGTCCATTCTGCGCAGTGCCTTCGACGTGGACGCCGGTGGCTCTGGTCCGGCTCTGCGGCGAGCACACGCCGACGTGGACCACGTATTGGAGGCGGAGCCAGAGGGGTATCTATGACATTTTGAAATTGCGAGAACACAAGAAAGTTGGGAGGCGTCCCTCGGCCCCCAAAAAGCGGGCTTCATCTGGTCAGGTCGAGGCCTGCCTGACCGCTTGGGCTTAGGCAGGAGCGCTGCTTTTGAACCGAGTCGGGTCGGAAAATGTTTGATCTCTCCTGTGACAGGCATTCTGCTTGCCAAAGATGCAGCCGTCAGAGGAAAGCGCCAACAAAAGAGATCCCATGCGTTGATGCACGGTGCGTGGGTCGAGTTGGGGATCTCAGCAGCACCCTCGGAAGCCGAACTCTTTGTTAGTCTACTAGTCTACACGGTCTACACGTGAAGGCGTCGAGAGACCCAAGCCAAGACTCCATGCTGCTTTTCGAAAAACCCAGCACAAGGACCAATTGCCAGAGTGCGGATTTCGGCGCACTGACTCTTTGCCCTTTGGTTTAGGTTTCCTTTCCAGACGCGGCTGCCGGGAATCGTCCACGGCGGGGGGGGGGGGGCGGGCTCGGAAGTAGGTGTGGCATTTGTGTTTGGAGTGTCGCGTGTTCCGGATGGGGGATTCAGGGTTTCCCAGAAGCAGTTTTCAGTTTTGCTTGTGAGAGCTGCGTGCCGAATTTTGGTAAGGCGTAAAGAAATGCGAGCAAGTTCGCAATCCAGTCGCCACTCATCGGAAGGCATCCAGTACGACTTGGACTCGGGCCGCCTCGTGGGCGTCCTGACTTCGGCATCTACTGCTCGAGTCCGGATGCTCACCCCGTGGGTGTGCGGCCGGCGCTGTTGTACTTTGAGCCGTTCTTCAGGTTCTGCAGCTTGATGAGGGTTTCACTTTGAGCTTTGGCGGGGTCTCCGCGAACCCTTTTGCCTGCCGCAGCATCCTTGAATGCGGAGAAAGTCTACCACAGAAAGATGGAAAGATGGAATGTCAACAGCCCGCGGAGGAGACAGAGGGCATGGAGCATCATGTGTCATTCAATGTCGTTTGCCTCGATGGAACGTCTGGAAAAATGGGGTTGAGCCAGCAAAGGGTTGGTTAATGTGCGACTAAGATTGTTGTTTTTTTGGGATCTGTTGTGGCCCGTGCTGCTAGCAGCATGAATTTCCGGACAAGCCCGAGCCCAGAAGCTCGAAGCTGTGAAAAGTGCCACACCCGAACCAATTCTTGGGAAGCCAGGTACTACTTGTGGACAGCGTTTATCAACACAATCAACATCACCCACCCAAAGATCGAGTTTGATGAGGTGGGCAGGGCTCACCCACACTTTCCTCTAGGCTCAAGGAGGGGTTCATGGGGAGAAGGAAAGGAAAGGCCGCGATTGTCCATCACACCTTCAGTCCCAGGCTTGCCCTTTCGGTTTAGTGTTTCGGGCTGTTGGTTGCAGGAGCTGCCCATCCTCAACTTTGGAGAGCAGATGACGGAGCAGCCCCTCGTCTAGCTTTCTTCTCGGCACAGACCCCTGGCCCCTGGCTACTTGTAGCCTATTGGAGCTGCTCCAGCGCCTGCTCTTTCTCATCACGAGCAGCTGCTGACCGCACGAGCGTTTATCATGGCCACCGGCATGACAGTCCTCATCGTGCACTTGCAGGGAGCTTCTGTGCTTTTGCAGCTTCCCCCAAGTGGGTTCGGTTTGAGCCAGGATCGGTGGTCCAATTGTCACGGTAGCAAGGACGAAGAAGAAGGACATTTTCCCGCAAAGAGCAGCAAAGTCAGAACCAGTCTGGAAGGATTAGGGGTGCATTTGAAGTCTGAGGTGGAGTCGCATGTGCTCACAAAGCGAAACCAGTCCGGTTGAAGCCCAGGTTTATGGCCTGGACGACGAACTCGGCGATCTTCTCTAGGAATGGCCAGGGCTGCAGAGCGAAGTATCCTATTTCAGCTTACGTCGCAAGTTTTGCTGGACTTCCTCTCGTCATGGTCCTTCATGCTCAGCAATGCTTTTCGAACCCAGAGCATCTCAAGGCCAAGTTTCTCCCAAGCCTCAAGGTTTCAGGCACCCAAACCCTGTCAAAAGTTTTAGCAATTTGGTGTTCCTGGAGACCTCGAAGTTTTGCTGACTGAGGCCAGGATGTCTTCGTCTTTTGCCAAGCAGAGCCTGCCGGATTGCTGAAGAATACCAAGTGCCTTCACCCAGTCTTCTTCAGCTTTGGGTTTGGGGTTGGCTTCTGCTCTGGCTTCCGGCTTGGAAGGTGCCTCTCAAAGTGGGATCTGTTCTCTGCGTTCCCTCATCCCTAACCTCAGCACTTCCTACTTGTAACCGAGGTCTCGGGTGTACTTCATCAGCATCCCGGACGCCGTGATCATCGAGGCCCGGCCTTTTCACGAAGCCCTGCCGGACAGCCCTCTGCAGTGGAGGACGAGAGCTCGTTTTGGGAAGCGCACGTTCCTCCACTGCGTCTCTTAAGCCCCTGGCCCAAGGCTCAGGGCCTGGACTTCACCGTGCTGCAGCTGATGGCCGGGAGCATAGCCGAAAGAGGGTTTATCACCATTAAAAAAGTGCACGATTTGTAGATTCTCCGGCTTCCTACATCAAGAGCTTCATGGCTTTATCTTCGAGGCGTTCGGTGAGGGGGCCTTTTGCTTTGCAATGCCTTCTGCAGAGCATCGGAAGCATTGGCTTCCTTGATCGGTGCCGGCACCAGGTCAATGAGAAGCATCGAGACGTCATCGCGGTTGGCCATCGGTCCGGAAACATGATGATCGCCGCTGCCTCGGTTCTGCAGCGGGGCAGAAGTGCTTTGTTCCACCGGCTTCGGGCTCGTCTTGTATGGATGTCTGCTCGAGTTCAATGCCACAGCCTGCTGAGCATGCGCTTGTAGCGGATGTTGGTGTGGGTGTTCCTTCTGGTTCTTCCACTCCATCGTGCTTTTTGGACAGCAAAGTAGCACCAACGCCGATGGCGATGATGCCGATTAGAGACAAAGCCCAACAATCCGAACCCTACCCGCAGTCAGGTCATGATCGCGAGGATCTATTTCAACCAGCTCGAGGAGCGACGGGATGAGCGGGAATCTGCCATTCAAAACTTGGATCAGTCTGGGGGCGGATCGCGAAGGTTTCTAGGGAGCTTCAGGAGGACAATCCAACGTGCTCCCGTTCCCATTCGGGGCTTTTGCATGACTGCCGATTCGGCACACCTTGAGACCCCAGCACCACGGAGCACGAAGCCACCAAGCTCCAGTGGTTAAAGCGGAAACGATGTTGCAGAACGCCAAGCGAGTGGAATGGCTCTACACGCCGGCGCTGTCCGGGTCCAAGATGGAGTTGAGGTTTGGAGTTCAGAAAGTCGCCTCGAACCCTTCACTGAGGCCCCAGCGACTGGTGCCGACGGAGGTGTTTTGGGCCTTGCCTTCGGCGTTCGGGTGATTCCTTTTGGTTCTCGGGCTTTCTTGCTGACCTTCGCACGAGGTCTGCGAGCAAAGTGAAAGCACGTTCTGGTTCTCTGGTTTAGAAGGAATTTCGTGCCGGCTTTTCCGTTCCTTTTAGAAGTGAACCGGGCTTGCCAGGACTTCGGGGACCTCTTCCTGACGCCCGGCTTGGCTGGCGACCCGTGGGCTTCGGGATTCGAAGGTTTTCAGGATACCAGGATCTTACCACAGGCTCTGTCATAGGTGGAACTCCTGTGACAGGCTTGCAGCAGCTTGTTGCCATGCCAAGCTTGTTGTTGTTCTGCAGCAGCCCCAAATCCTCAAAGCTTAGTCCGAAGATTCTAGCTTTACTGTTATCCTTTCAGCAAGATTCAGATTCATCCTGAAGGCGGCTTGGCCCCATTAAAGCCAACAAGAGTGCAGTTAAACTCGACCGAGGCCGTCAGCGAGCATCTTTTCAACAAGAGCTTCATCATGGTCAGGCTTCGGAATTGTAGTCACGATTCAGCTTCTTTCTTGCACGTGGCGTTAATCCTGAGCAGCAGTAGCCTTGGCTCCCGTTTTGGAATTTAGTTCGCAGGGTCGAGGCTGGAGGAATCCTTGAGGATTCTATTGCGCAATGGAGGCCCTCTACGACCTGCCTGCCTGAGTCTTGCGCGACAGCCCCGTGTGCTGCGGTGGTGTTGGGTTTGGAGAACCGGCTTATGCACATCTTGGCAAAGTATGCTGGGTCTGCAGCTGCAAGGCGTGTGAGAGCTTCGAGTCTGTTGGACATGACATCCTTGAAAGAGATACGCCAGACAAGCTGTCCTGCCGCTTCGAGTTTTTGCAGCGGCGCATGCCGACATGATAGGCATACTTTGCGATGTTCGGGTCCCCTTTCACTCTCCAGCGATGATGCTGCTTACAGTGCTACGCACCTGCCAACCATCTGCAAACGTGTGGGGGATCACCTTGGCGCTTCCTTGTCTGCAAAATTGTCGTCACCGCCTGCGCTGGCTTCGGAGGCCCTCGCTCATCTGGTGCCCTTCTGACTGGACAGCAGGTCATCTGCACAAACCGAATTCAAAGCTTGGGTCGCGAGCGAGGAAGACTTGGCACTGGTGGAGAATCTGGACAAGGAGATCTGCGCGCTTGCGGAGAGAAGCCGGCAAGAGACATGCCTGGAGCCAGTGCTGACTTGACCGGCAAACGCAAAAGGAAAGGCTGTGTGCTTAAGCTTTTTCATCGGAGTCTCGCGTTTCAAGGAGCGCCGTAGTGCCGTACATCAGTTCAGCAGGACGTTGACGCTCTTTCCACGTGCAACAGCGTCGCCTTGTTCTGAGCCGCGAAGAGGATGCCCAAACACCAGATGAAAGTAACCCCAAAGGCAGCAGATCCAAGCCCCACATAGCCCAACCTTTCAGATCCTCCCGCGCCTCGGAAGGAAGTACCCGGTGGACTGGCTGGAGCCCCGAGAGCCCGAGTTGTATCCACCTATTCTCATGGAGGCTGCGTGCAGGGAGGGCGCTTCAGAACTTTGCGGCTTTCTGAAGCCTCGATAGATCTCGGGATGTGTTGTCCAGGCATACAGTTTTGGATGATGCTAGGCTTTAACCCTAAAGAGAGGCTTCACCGAGCAGACTAGGCAGCCATGCATGTCAGTTCGAGAAGGATGCATTGTCCACGATGTAGCAGCTCTCAAGCAGCTGTGGTGCGCAGATCAACATCCGCGAGCCTATTTACTTCGCACCGCCGGCATGCTTGCCAAGCGACTTCTAGAACCACAATCACAGCCTTGATGTGGTGCCTGCCACGGAGATGCTCATAAAGGGGGTTCATTTGGGGATGTTTGAGTTTCCGGTGCGGGCTTGGGGTTTGGATCCGGTGCAGACAGGACGTACATCTTGAATGACGAGCCACAAGCTGCATATCTGCATCGCCAGACTCGCAGAATCGCGCAGTGCCAGGACTGGTGCCCAGAAGATTGCCAGGGCACGGTCACCTACAAGTCTCCATACACGCGACTCGGCTTCTGGGTCTGTCGGCGAGGGTCTCCGAGCACACAGTTGCTTTGCTATGCCAAGGCCCATCTTCAACAAGGAGAAATGTGGGCTTGAAGCCATGGTGCAGGGTCTCGTCCACATGGCACGCGGCTCATAACGAAGTTAATGGATTCCCAGATCCCAGGAGCTGTGCAAGAGTTTAGCTGTGTACTCCGAACCGTGGTTTGACCACAACTCGTGTAAAACGCTGGAGCTTGACGTTGTCTGTATCCGAACAGCAGGAACCGCGGATTCCACTGTCGCTCGCAGCACCTGCGCTGGTGTACGCCCGCTTCAGCATGGAGGTGCTTTGATTGCTCCACAAGCCTTGTCAGAAGAGAGGTGTCGGTGCCTCAAGCCATAGGTTAAAGTACCCAGCACGAGCTTCTGAGTTTATGGTCCGAACTGACAGGCAGTAACCATTGACGTGAAGTTCGACCGGGCGACCTTGCGTGGTGCCTTGCCGCTGGACACCACCAACGACATCGTGTGCTTGGGCCTGCAACCATTTGGAACCCCCAATCCTGAAGAATCTGACAGAGCGTTGGGGTTCAGGGTTGCAGAATGTCCCGTGCATCTCGTTTCTGTGAGCAGACAAACAAACAGAATAAGCTCAGCTCCGCATTCCAAAGGCCCGATATCATCGACTACACCACGCAGCTCACTGGCGATGCCTGGGACTGTGCGAACACCTTCGATGAGGCCCCACGCATCATGCTGGGAAACCTTCCCTCCGCGACATCACCGCGTTGGATCATTTGTTTTGAGACTGCAGATTCGTGGTTCGAGCGCAGGACACGGTGATTCTGCTGGGCCCCTTCCCGGAGACGTCCTGCAAATGGGCCGTGGTCCCAGACATTTAGAGAATCCGCTGCAGAAGGTCTTGGACTTCAGGGCATCGGAAGTTTGCAGTTCATCCTTTAGCGGAGGGTCCGGAAGTCAAGTTCGAAAAGCGTCTTTTCATCGATGTCCTGGGTCGGTGTGCCAATTAAGATCAGAAGTTTAAGTTCAGAGCTTGGCTACTCTATCGCAAGCTCATCACAGGGCTGGTGTTCTTTTCTGTTGCAAGGGTTTCTTCCGTGAAGATGCGGATGAAGGCTTCTCGTTATCTCCCTGATCACTCGCAGTCTTTTTCTCGGTCTGTGTGGGACTGGGCAGACAGACGTCGGAGTGCTGCAGTGGCGTTTGTGTTGTCCAGCATAAGTGACACATGGTCGCGTGTGGCTCTTGACGAAGCCCACTTCCTTTCCAGCACGATGCAGTGCTGTGCCGATGAAGAGTCTTTGTCGGGAGGAAGTTGCGGGGCAAAGCGCTTTGTGAGGCCGCCGATGACTTGATCCAGGTTTCTTTGCCCCGGCTCTTCGACATTCAGGCAGGAGCCGTGGCAGCGGATGGAGCCAGCGGGAGAGCCAGAGAACCGAGCAGAGCCGTTCAGCCGCTTGTGGTGTCAGGTTGGGGACCAGATCTTTCTGCAGGCGGACACGATTTACACGATCCCGCGGCCACAGGCCGTTGGGGACCTGTGAGGTTAGTGCGCGGCCCATCCCACCTCACACCAGGACAACGAGTACTCCATGGCGGCGCAGGGCGGCATCGCAATCTCCCTGCTCGGAGCCCTGCCGCTTCCATCGTTGTCATAGAGTGGAAGATTTGGATTTTTGGACTGGTGTTTTCTTAGTTGGGTCGCCTAGATGCCCAGGCCTTCTGTTCCTTAAGTCTGAGCTCAGCCCGTGGTGACGCACTATGCTCTCTCGTAGTCCCGCAATACTCCAGGCCGGATCCCTTGGAAGAGCCAGTGGTGATTATCACGGGGACGACTGAGGTGGGGAATGGAATGGAGAGAATGGGGTGTGATGGTAAATGTCTGATTGAGATTTTCAGAACAATGGCGGAAAGCCTCTGCCCGAAGCCTGAATATTCTGAAGCCCGGTGCATTCCTGCACACGCAGCGCGTCGCAGATCGACGAGTGCAGCCCACTCCAGCTGTCTGCGAGCGACAGCTACTTCTTGGGTGGGCAGGCCACCTACAGGCCAGGACGCGTGTCTTCTTCAGCCATGAATCCCCAAGCACTGCTCTGTCGAGAAAAAGCACCAAATCTAATCCGCAAGCACAGGTGGGAGCTGCTCTCCTACCGAGATCTCACCAACAACCCGGCCGGACGAATCTTTAACCGTGTGGCCGGCCAGTTGCGCAAGCCCGCCAGGGCCAGTGCCATCTCACGCAGAAGTGAGTTTTCTCTGCAGACGACAAGCACAGCAAACTGCCAGAAACGGCACTGGATCTCTTCCGCTTCGTGTTGGAGAATGCCACGAACGTCAGCACCCCGAGCTGGGGCACTGCCTAAGCTTTTAGAAGTGTTCAAGTCTTGCAGTGTTGTCGAAAACTTGGTGAGTAACCCTACAGCCGGCGAAGCAGAACCGAAATGCAACTGCTTTACGAGGTTTGGCTGGTGAGCCTTGGCTCTTTCAAAGATCCTTGAATCCAAGACCTTCCAGCTCCATAGAAGCTCCGCAAGAGAAGCCAGAGAAGCTCTGTGCTGAGTTCAACGACGGCCAAGTGGTCTCCCCGCCCAACTACCTGGAGGAGGCGGTCGGCTTCATGATCAACCTCACGGTGCCCTGGCGTGGGATGTTGTGGGCTATTCACGAGTCCAGCTGAAGCAGTTTGCTTGGTTGAAACGGAGTCGGAAAGGGCGTGGCAGTCTCCCCAAGCTTTTGAGGTCACCAGCCGATGGGGTCTCTCGAAGAGCGAGCTCGTCGGCTCCTGAGATCTCTTCTCAGCACTCGACTCTTGGACCTGGGCTTAGGGAGCTCTCAGGTCGAAGTGACGAAGCTCGACTTCCCCGTGCCTGGGCTTAGGGTCAGGCTGCAGTCGCGGGCAGATGTGACGGCCGGAAGGAGTTGAGTTGCCGAGTACTTCGTGGAGTACTTGCGAGTCGGAAGAAGCATACGTGCCATCAAACCACCCTGAGGCACCGATGGTTAGCATCCTCGGGCCGAAGGAACTTCTCGTGAACCGCCCGGTGCCTAAAGTCTAGACGAACGCGACCCGTGCGAGCCGTGCAGAGGCTCCGGGGAATGCAACGATAGGTTTTTGAGCTGTTGATCGAGGCACGGAACAAGTGTCTCTACTGGCGAACGGTGTGCCATCGGAGTGCAGGGGGCCCGGTCCAAAGTCCAAACCTCCGATTTGGATCGGCTCTTTCTCTGTCAGAAGGTTTGGAAGCTTCCGTTGCTTTCCTGGGAAGTTTCCAAAGCCGTCCCTCCTTCAAAGATTTTCAGCCGTTACGAACCCTCGCCCTGACACTCGGTGTCGTGTTTTCGGGCTCGGTACGTCAAGGCCCATTTGGGAATTTCGGAGCCTAGGGCCTAGGTTGAGGTTTTCGTGTCAAGGGCACTGGAATGCTCCAAGAGAACAGGTGCCACGGTCTCCCGTCAGCTTGGCTACCGGTGGTCCGAGACCACGGGGCAGCTGGACCGCGGGAGGGGTTTTCGGAGCTTCAGCTTTGTGACATGGGGAGGTCGAGATGATAGATTGTGGGAGCTTCGGTGAGTCTTTACCATGGCTCACAAAAGCCGAGTTTCGATCCTGGGTGGAGGCCGCCTGAGCTTCGGAGGGTGCGCTCTCACAGCCGGCAGTCGCATGGAAGGTCGTTGGCGCGTGCCCGGCTAGGATGCCTTAGGCCCAAGGGCCTAAGTCCCCCAAAATCTGGAGCAGAGGATCTCCCGTTCATGGACGGGATCGCTTGGCCCTCAGCATGGCTTCAAGAGGGTCAGCACCGTCAAAGTCGTGAGAGAAAGCACCGAAGCCGCTCTTCGGTTCAGAGCTTATTCTCGCAAATACCGGCGGAAGCGATTCCCAGCTTTGAAAGGATGAGGTCCTGTTTTGCCATGGTCCTTTTTCTTCCTGTCATCAATGAAGCAGAAGCCTGGTTGACCTGTAGATTGTTCCGGGTGCTCGCTTTGTTTTTCGTCTTGTAAACCGAGACGCACCGAACCAGCAAGAACAGGAGGACAGTTGCCACGGCGAGGAGGGCGCAAAGATGACGCCGGTGGCGGGTGCCGTCCTTGCTTCAGCAGGCCACACAACAGGCAAGTGTAGACCCTGACGGTGGCTCGGATACGGAAGAAGAGCTGAGCATCCGCCATGAGGAGGTGAAGCACTCCTGGAGGATAGGGAGGGTGATAAGGTCGGGGAGGCATCGAAGGGGGAGCGGGGCAAGAGGGACCAGGACCAATGCCGCCGTCGTCGCCGGCGCCGTCGCCGATCGAGCCAGGGCAAGGCATGCGGGTACCAAATGTGGACGGGTTCAGATTACGAGGGTTCATGGATCAACTACGAAATCGAGGACGGCTTTGCGACGATCTCTCAGCGTATGCATCTGGGAGATACGACAGCGTCTTTGAGTCCGGCCTGCTCGGGGCTTCACCCGGTTGCACCGTCACCGCCCACGACAATGCGGACTGCCGGGGCTCGTCCGTCGATGCAAATGGACAGGATTCAACAGTGACGCGGAACCGGCAGAATTTCGACACGGCGAGCAACAAGATTTCCAGCATATATTGCAAGTGCTGACGGTTAGATGTAATCGTACAAGTGGTTTCGAAAAAGGCCGGCAGCTGCTAGGCGATTTCGTGTGCTTTGAAGCTCATGTCCTCCAGAGATTTGGAAGCGAGTTGCACTGAGGTCTACACCACACGCTCCTTGGTCATACCACCCTTTGTGCTGGAGCCCATTGGCAGCGGCAGCGATGTGCTGGCTGCTCAGAGAACCCAAGTCTGTGTTTGAAACGCAGGAGCCAAGTAGGATCTTCCGTTCACTTTCGGTATTCGGGGCTTCCAGGGAGTTCGCGACCACACATATCTGCGTCGCCTGCATGGCTTCAATCACCTTTCCAATCCTCGACCCCTTGTGATCATGGGCCGCGGATATCTGGGCTGTCTGGCATTGGGACACCAGCTTCACTGGTTACTGTTTGTTGCTTCTGGGCGTTAGTGCTCGAACCTCTCTGTGTTCTTGTCTTCAGCACGTGCTTCCTGCTCGCAAAAAAATATGCAAAGAGCCATTGCCATGGTAAATACAAGGTTTCGGACACTTGAGATTCCTGAGGTGGAAATGAAGGTCGACAGAGTTCGTCTGTGCACCTTGTGCCGTTGCTCATATTCTGATGCTGTCATGCTGTCTATCGAGTCTACTGCTAGTAACTTCGCTCCCATAAGTCGCCGCTTCCAGGGGAGCCCAAGGGACCTCCTTGCAAGCAGTGCCTCTTAAGGAACATGTACAACTTCACTGTCGAGACCTTCGCAGTCGACAACCCGAGCAAAGCGGCGTATGCATCGGTGACCGTCAGGGTCCGGGCCCTGGTCCGGCCAGTCCGGCGGGAGTCCGGCGCTATCAGAGGGTCCATAGAGGGCCACTAGGCCACTAGTCTGGTGCCTCTTTGCAGGTCCGCCGCTCCCCGGTCTTCGCAGCCTTGGCGACGGAGGCGGAGAAAGCACAGACGGATGCCTTCAGGGCCAACGTGTCCGCCGCGAGGATCGGCTCATGACGCGCGGAGACATCTTGGTGCTCGATGCGCGGCAATCGCAGGAGCAAAAGGGCTGAGCCCGGGACTTCAACAAGCGCGAGTGTGCTTTCTCCCACCGCTCAGCCAAGTTTCCAAACCATGTTAGCAGCGGCCGGCGCAGCATAGTCGAAACTGAACTCGCCAGAGCAGACGAATGTACTGCACGCCAAGCAAGACTTTCGGAATGTGTGACATCCAACACAAAATACGAAACGGAGCGGCGAGGACCCGGACTACCCCACGAATCCGGGCATGACCTTCGTGGGCACCTTCACCTGGTGGTGCCTCACGCCGTCCTGGGCCCAGCGTTGAAGCTTTCCGGCTTGCAGAGCTGCGGAGCCTTCACCGGGGAAGCTCAGGGGCCGGCTGCCCTGCTTCGGGGCCAACTCCACGGGATTGATCCCCCCGCTGGAGACCTGCATCACGGACTTCGACTCCAGGACCCGGCGTGTTCTTTTTGCACCAGGTTCCAACACCCGCAGGCCTCGGGGTCCACAAAGCAGAATTGAGTCGTGACACAGGCTCGCAATTAGTGCCCAACGCTCACCTCACATGAAATCGGAAGAACTGCGCTTGCGAAGGATAGTGCAGGGCGGCATGACCTTCTCACTGCCGCTCTTCGACGAGGGTCTCTACTGCAGATGGGTCGAATTCTCAGAAAGCGCCCTCGACAGGCATAACCAATCAGGGGATCGAACACATGGATAACACACCGTGCCAATGCCCAGCTTGAAGCCAAAGCCCCAGACCTAGTCTAAGGCCTCCACATTCTCTTACGTTGTCTTCTTTCGTACACCCCACTGGGCAAAGCAACGATCCAGAAGGCCGATGGCATCCCCTCACAGACCCCTTTATCAACAAACAAGGAAGAGACACCAAAGCACCCAAGTTTCACCTTGGCAAGGCCCGTGGCGTGCTTATGGTCTCTACAGTGAACTTCACAGAGGGCGAGTACCTCTTCGAGGCAGCTGCTTGGAAGAGGTGTCACAGTCATCGATTCACGACAGTCAGGGCGCATCTATGCGCGCGCCCTGATCCGTCCATGCGAAGCTTCTGTGTCACACATGATTGCAGTTCAAGCTTCGCAGTGCAGTTCTTGGCCCTGGCGCCGAGCCTCGAACCATTCTGAAGGAGAGCATTTCAGAAGAGCAATCTCTTGCTCTAAGTGCTGAGTGAGCCATTCACGCATCGTGAACAGTGCAACCATCAGTTTCAGAGTTTAGACAACATTCAAGTCCGATAGTCTGAGTCTGCACGACTCCGAGCTTTTAGCCGCCGGCTGATTCTGCAGGTGCAGGCTCAGGCCAACGATGGCCGTCGGTCGAGCAAGGCCGGGGTTCCGAGCTTGACGCCATTCCCAATATCCGAAGAGTAAAAAGCACACGTTGCAACCGATTCGGCGATATGATGACAGGCTGTTCGGATCACGATCACCGAGTTGCAGGGGCCCTGATGTTGCTTATTTGGCTGTTGTTGCTGATAGGCATATGCTACTGTTGCTGCTGCTGCTGATAGTCCTGCGGCCACTCGTGTGACTTGCTCTAGCTGCTGCTGCTGCTTCTGCTGCTACTAGTGCTACTGCTATCGCTATTACTATCAGTTCTACTACTACCACCACTACTACTACTACTACTACCACTACTGCTACTACTGCTACTACTGCTACTACTGCTACTACTGCTACTACTGCTACTACTGCTGCTACTGCTACTGCTACTGCTACTGCTACTGCTACTGCTACTGCTACTGCTACTGCTACTGCTACTGCTACTGCTACTGCTACTGCTACTGCTACTACTACTACTACTACAACTACTACGACCACTACGACGACGACGACTACGACGACGACGACGACTACTACTACTACTGCGACTACGATTGCGACGATTACTACGATTACTACCACGACCACTACTACTATTACCACCACCACCACCACCACCACCACCACCACCACCACTACTACTACTACTACTACTACTACTACTACTACTAGCCACCCCCCCTCCCAACTACACTTGTTCCATCCGGGCTGGGCAGCGGTAGCTGCTAAGCGCCTTAACTGCGACAGTTGCAGAAGATGCACGGGCTCAGGCTCCCTATCTGTGACAACTGCAGAAGTTGCAGAGTCTCAGTTTCCTTAACTGTCACAGCCGGTGAAGTTGCAGGGGCTCAGGCCCCAAAACTGCGACAGCAGCTGGAGTTGCAAGCTCGACGGGGAAGAAACTGCTAAACCGCAGGTGGTCGGATAGTACGAAAACGCTGTAAATACCGTGCACAACGCAGGTGCTGCCAAGAAGGGTTTAACATTTTACCTGAAGCGCAACATCTTCTAAACATCAAAAACAAAGACGCCAGCCGTACGTGGGAGGGGCTCGCCAACACCCCTACCGCCCAACCTCGGCGTATGAGGGTCTGTTTTTGAAGTGGTGTGTGTGTTGTGTGTGTGTGTGCGCGCACGCTTGAGTGTGGAAATATTGTTCAGGGTGTCCGCAAAACAGTGTCGTGATCATCCCGAAGAAGCTTTCCTCACCCAATTTCGAGTTTTTTTTGCAAACAGTTCGAAAGCTTAATATGCATAGTCGAGAAGTGGGGGCTCAGAATATGTAACAAAGTCTGACATCACGAAAGTACCGTAAATACTGAGTTAAACGGCTCTTGTGGTGATACTGTTGGGTGTGTTCGCGTAACACTGTCGTCATCATCCCCCCCACCCCCCCACCCACCCCCAGAAGCAAGTCCAAAATCAAGAGCCCGAATTTGCAATCTCAACAAGTCGTTTCTGAGGCCTCTTATGATGATCGCACATGACGAAAGCACCGAGTAAAACGGATGTTGTCTTAACATGGTTAAGAACAAGTGTAGTTGGTGGGGGGGGTGCCTACTACTACTACTACTACTACTACTACTACTACTACTACTACTACTACTCCTACTCCTACTCCTACTCCTACTCCTACTCCTACTCCTACTCCTACTCCTACTACTCCTACTCCTACTACTCCTACTCCTACTCCTACTCCTACTCCTACTCCTACTCCTACTCCTACTCCTACTCCTACTCCTACTCCTCCTACTCCTACTCCTACTCCTACTCCTACTCCTACTCCTACTCCTACTCCTACTCCTACTCCTACTCCTACTCCTACTCCTACTCCTCCTACTACTCCTGCTACTACTACTACTACTACTCCTGCTGCTGCTCCTACCGCTGCTGCACTCGCACTAGCACTCGCACTCGCACTGGCACTAGCACTCGCACCACAAGCACTGGCACTAGCACTAGCACCAGCGCTACCACTAGCTCTACCACTAGCACTGCCACTACCAATACAGTCTACCACTATCACGACCACGACCACCGACCGTCGACCCCGCCGCTGCCACCACCACTACTACCACTACTCTACCACTACTTTACCACTACTCTACCACGACTTTACCACTACTCTACCACTACTCTACCGCCACTCTACCACTACTCTACCACTACTCTACCATTACTACCACTACTCTACCACTACTCTACCACTACTCTACCACTACTCTACCACTACTCTACCACTACTCTACCACTACTCTACCACTACTCGACCACTACTCTACCACTAGCACTACTACCACTACCACCACCACCACCACCTTCACCACCACTACTACTACTACTACTACTACTGCTTCTGCTACTGCTACTACTACTACTACTACTACTACTACTACTTCGGCGGCTACTGCTACTGCCACTACCACTACTATCACGTCTGCTACTGCTACTGCCGACGCCACTATCGCAACGACTACCACTGTTACTACGAAGGCGGTTCTACCATGCGCACGTACATGCACATGGACCAACACAGACAGTCAGACATCCCTTGCATTATCGCCTACTGCCTTCCGGACTCAGTTCCAGCCACTCATTCACTTACTCGCACATGCGTGCACGCGAACGCACGTAAGGGCATACACACATGCGAGACAGATATGCGGGCGCCCACTACCAACATTTTCCACTATGTACCGTGGTCGCGCCTTGAAGCACGTGGCCGCTCGCAGGGTGGTTCCCCAGATCCTTCTGGCTATCGACAACCCCATGCCAAAGTTCCCGGTCACAACCGAGGCGAGGAAGAGAGAGAGAGATAGAGGTTGCTGAGGTGGACGCCGAAATGCTGAAAACAGTCCCGGGTGCAGACTTCAGCAGATCAGAGTCTGGTTCCGGGGCCAAAGCAGAGTGGAAGCTTTTCATGCAAATTGCAGTTGGGCAGAAGGTACTTTTCGAGGTTGGTTAAAGACTCGACTTCTTGGATCGACAGCTTCCGTGCCGTCAGCCGGTAATGCAAGCAACCATTTCTGTTCTCGGCCGGCCCGTGAAGATCCATGCCTGATAGTGTTGGCATCATTCCCATGCAGAACCAGCAACAGTAAGTCCTGTAGCACATGAGCAAAGTCCTTCACGTGTCTTTGGGGCTCTGAGCCTTTATGTTTGTTGTCCAACCTCTCACCGGCAATGCTTCGCAGATCAGCATCTCGGGGACCGTCGAGAGCGAGTTAGATCCGACTGTGGAGCTCGAGTTCTCTTGGCGGGCGGGACCCTGAAGCCTTGGTTTCCCGGGTTTGCGGATTATCCTTCATGTAGACTCCAGTCGGTTCAAATGTTGAGGGCCGTAGGTTTCAGCTTCAGACTAAAATCTCGAGAACCCCTGAAGCTTGTGACACTGTTATGCTTGTGCAGTCCATGGTAAAGCTTGGAGGCTCACCGCAGTAGCCAAAGATTTCTGAGATACTTGTCTTCTCGTCGAATCCGCTCTACGACGGGGACCTCGCGCGAGAAGCGGAGTCGGACAATGACCCGACCACGGTGTACCTGGTGGACAAGCGCGGAACCCGACTTCTCGGATCTGGTGATTGAAAGTTCAAAACGGTGCTGTAGGTGTGGGGCTGGAATCCCGTAGCTACATCTGGACGACCCTGAGAAGCTAGAGTCTTTTGTCGCCAAAGCCCCGCCAGACTAAGGATGGTGTACATAGACCAAACAGATGTGTACGACGTCACGAATGCGTCACGCTTCTTTACCAGGCGCCTCCCTGAGAGGTTGGGGCTAAGAGGACTGCAGGGCGGCGTCTCGAAAGCCGGGGCGGTCTGAGTCTGGAGCTGTCTCGCTGTTGAGCTGCGCCACGGATTCGGGAAGGGGGTGGATCCACGAGAGGGAGCATTCGAGTATCTGAGCCTTCCGTCCCAAACTCTAAACGGAGTGTACCCTCGAAGACTCCAGCATCACGCATTAGACATTGTTACCTCCTCACAAGAGCAAGGTGTGCACTGCGCATGTTTGTACCAGGCCGGATTCTCCGAATATGATCATCAAGGCGAGTGTGGGCCTGTAGGGTGCAGGAAGCAAGCCTGAAGCCTTCATTCGAGGTTTCGGTGCAACCCGCGCCTTTGTTGATGGCAGCCTCTTCAACACTTGACTCTCAAACCCTTCATGTGAACCCTACGCCGCAGTCACGATCAGGGGAACGTGCTACAAGAGGACACTATATACAAGCCAGCGGCCTCAGTTTTGGCGGAGCTGGGTTTAATTCAGTATCAGCACCTGATCTGGCTCCTTACTTGGCTAGAGGCCGACACAGTTTGATCGCGTGAGTTGGGGAAACGGAAAGTTTCTGGGGAGCGGCCAACTCAGGGTGCGGCTTGTGATGACAGTTGGCGGCGGCCTGGTGGAAGGCTTCTCCGATGCACGGCCGCCCAGAACGGAAATGCTCACATGTTGTCTGGCAAAGTTTTGTGGAAGGTCATGAGCAGCATCTTGATGCTGCGGGGGCATCTCGTGGAGATTACGTTTTCCCCGAAGCCCTCCACGAGCTAACACGACAAGGTCTCCTTGCAGACCGCCGGGCTGCCACCCAGATCTGGTACCCTAATCTCGGCACCGCTCAACGCCACCATGGACACGAAGAGGCCCAGTGCTTCTTTCGGATTGCAGGAGTTTGGACTCAACCGCAGCGTTCACTCAACAGTCCTAAATCTAAAGCAATACAAAAGCTGCAGGGTGATCTCAGCCCCGGACTGGGTGGCCAACGACCTGCCCCTGAACTACCAATTCGGCCCGCGGCTGAGTGGTTCTTGCGCCTGGGAGCCCACAGTAGCGTCGTGCCTCTTCAAAAAGAATGCAGCATCGGATTTCGGATCAACAGCAGTCCTGAAATACTGGGCGCTTTCGTTCTTGGTTAGATGAAATGTGATGAGGCGGCCTGCTGGTGGGACTTATTCTGCACTCTAGGTGCTTTGAAGTGTTACGGCCTCAATCTACGGTTGCAGGTCTGTAACACGGTAGCACGGGCCGAAGCTGGCTTAGAGTCAAGCCCTGAAGAAAAGAGCTCCACCAACTGAGAATCTATGAGATCCCAAGCCCGAGCCAGGCTACATCCACTACCTGGGTGTGGGTGCACGCCTCGGTTCGTTTGGTTCACTTGACATCTTGAACTCTTAGAACGCACGTCCTTTACCAGGTTTGGTTTAGGTTAAGTGTTGTCGAACGCAGCTGAGCCTCCCTCCGTTCCATTAGAGGGTCAAGTAAGAAGGAAAAGGCAGATCGGTGCAGGTATTGTACCTTCTTTATGGGATTCCGATGATCGGCTGGCATACAGGGCACACGTTGCCTGTTTTCGCAGGAAGGACAGCACTGTTTGTGGAGTCTTGTGAGAACAGACACATCTGTGTAATTTGGTGGCTTGAGTTCGAGAGTAAGTGATGGAATTCGAAGCTGAGCTCATAGCCTCAGGATATGCATCCGGCATTCCAAACAGTGGCCCCAGAACACACGAACTTCGTGGCCATGACATCTTCTCACGATATAACTCTAACATCCCACTCATGCTAATGGTGCTTGTAAGCGGTACAGCGGCCTGGGCACCTGTCTGCAGTGCGCCTGCTGGCGCTCTCAGAAAAAGTGCTCGCGATGCGAATTGCGGATGGTGCTGATGATCGCCTATCTTGCGTGCGGACTCTGCGTGGCACACCGAGGGGATCCAGCAATAATCATTTTCCAACAGATTCTGCATCTTGCAACAGTGCCAGGCTTTATGATGCTCGCTGGGACGCGTGCTTGCAAATTGGACCGGCAGATGGCTTCTTGCAACAGCGAGCGGCTGATGCTCGTGATGCTGGCCGGCCGGGTCTCGCCTGCTTCCTGCAACCTCGCGCAGCTGATGCTCGTGATGCTGGCCGGGTCTCGCCTGCTTCCTGCAACGTCGCGCAGCTGATGCTCATGATGCTGGCCGGGTCTCGCCTGCTTCCTGCAACGTCGCGCGGCTGATGCTCATGATGCTGGCCGGGTCTCGCCTGCTTCGTGCAACGTCGCACAGCTGATGCTCATGATGCTGGCCGGGTCTCGCCTGCTTCCTGCAACGTCGCGCGGCTGATGCTCATGATGCTGGCCGGGTCTCGCCTGCTTCCTGCAACGTCGCGCAGCTGACGCTCATGATGCTGGCCGGGTCTCGCCTGCTTCCTGCAACGTCGCGCGGCTGACGCTCATGATGCTGGCCGGGTCTCGCCTGCTTCCTGCAACATCGCGCGGCTGATGCTGCTGGCCGGGTCTCGCCTGCTTCCTGCAACGTCGCGCAGCTGACGCTCATGATGCTGGCCGGGTCTTGCCTGCTTCCTGCAACGTCGTGCGGATGATGCTCATGATGCTGGTCGCGTCTCGCTTGCTTCCTGCAAGGTCGCACAGCTGATGCTCATGATGCTGGCCGGGTCTCGCCTGCTTCCTGCAACGTCGCGCGGCTGATGCTCATGATGCTGGCCGGGTCTCGCCTGCTTCCTGCAACGTCGCGCAGCTGACGCTCATGATGCTGGCCGGGTCTCGCCTGCTTCCTGCTGGCCGGTCTCGCCTGCTTCCTGCAAACGTCGCACAGGTGATGCTCATGATGCTGGCCGGGTCTCGCCTGCTTCCTGCAACTGGCCGGGTCTCGCCTGCTTCCTGCAACGTCGCGCGTGATGCTCATGATGCTGGCCGGGTCTGCCTGCTTCGTGCAACGTCGCACAGCTGATGCTCATGATGCTGGCCGGGTCTCGCCTGCTTCGTGCAACGTCGCACAGCTGATGCTCATGATGCTGGCCGGGTCTCGCCTGCTTCCTGCAACGTTGCCGGCCGGGTCTCGCCTGCTTCCTGCAACTGGCCGGGTCTCGCCTGCTTCCTGCAACGTCGTGCGGATGATGCTCATGATGCTGGCCGGGTCTCGCCTGCTTCGTGCAACGTCGCACAGCTGATGCTCATGATGCTGGCCGGGTCTCGCCTGCTTCGTGCAACGTCGCACAGCTGATGCTCATGATGCTGGCCGGGTCTCGCCTGCTTCCTGCAACGTCGCGCGGCTGATGCTCATGATGCTGGCCGGGTCTCGCCTGCTTCCTGCAACGTCGTGCGGCTGATGCTCATGATGCTGGCCGGGTCTCGCCAGCTTCCTGCAACGTCGTGCGGATGATGCTCATGATGCTGGCCGGGTCTCGCCTGCTTCGTGCAACGTCGCACAGCTGATGCTCATGATGCTGGCCGGGTCTCGCCTGCTTCCTGCAACGTCGCGCAGCTGATGCTCATGATGCTGGCCGGGTCTCGCTTGCTTCCTGCAACGTCGCGCGACTGACGCTGGCCGGTGGCCGCTGATGCTCATGATGCTAGCCGGTTTCGCTAGCCTCTTGCAACAGGGAGCGGCTGATGCTCATGATGCTGGCCGGGTCTCGCTTGCTTCCTGCAACGTCGCGCAGCTGATGCTCATGATGCTGGCCGGGTCTCGCTTGCTTCCTGCAACGTCGCGCGACTGATGCTGGCCGGCAGCCGCTGATGCTCGTGATGCTGGCCGGTTTCGGTAGCTTCTTGCAACAGCGAGTGTCTGAAGATGCTGATGATGATGTGCCGGGTGTCAAGTGCTTTTTGCAAGAGCAGCGGCCGAGGATGTTGATGATATGCCGGGTGTCACTTGCTTCTTGCAAGAACCATTTGCTGAGGATGCTCATGATGATTTGCCGGTTGTCGCTGGATTGCCGCAAGAGCGAGCGGCTGATGCGCATGTTGCTGGCCCCGTTTGCTGGCAGGGTTTCCCGCTGCTCCTTGCAACATCGCACGGCCAATGCTCATGATGGCGCTGCTTCCTGTAACAGCGAGCAGCTGATTCTCACACTGCTGGCCGGACTTATGTTCAGGATGCGTTCCCGGCGATGATGGCCTGGGTGTGCCACACCAAAGATTCAGAGATGCCCAGGCCTGGATCCAATCACCGTACGGCTCAACACGGCCCCGCAGCGGGTGCAGCAGATCGAGGCCGGGAAGCTTCTGTGACAGGTCTCCAGCCAGTGAACCCAGCTTGGGCAGCGGGCTTCTTTCCGGTGTCGGGCGCATTGGTAGGCTTGTGTCTTGGTCCCGGCTTCCATCCTCGGGGTCTCAGGTTGATGAGCTACCGATCGGCGAGCCAAGCACTGGCTTCTCGCTGTGTGAGCCCAAGTTGCGCAAAGTGTATCATACAGCACCCACACATATGAATCCATCACAAAAAATCTCCAAAGAGAGCGGGGAGCTTAGTCAAAACCTCGCAACGTAAACCTGGTGCACCAGGCGGGGTCTGCGGGCAGGCTGGGGCACCAGAAAATCAAGGATTTTTCGAACTATCCCTTGCCGGGGCTGGCCGGGACCCCGTTGCCATAGGGGCCTGGACAAGATGTCGAGCCTTACGTTGGCGTCTCTTGCCAGATGCTGCAGATGCTTGCGCAGTTTATTTCTCTGCCGGACTTGCATTGGATTGTCTTGCGGCCCAGGTCTTCATTTCATCCGTCTGCGTCTCTGCATACGCAGAGGTATATGATATATGATATATGCACAGTTCTGTGTCTGTAATTATGTGTGTACGAACATGTGTCTGTGTGTATGCTGGGATATATCGATGCATGTTTGTATGTATGAAGGTATGCATGTTCATTTATGTATGTCCAGCTCAATTCGATAGCTGTGCATCTGGGTGAAACCTTAGACTCAGGGCACTACCAAGCCCTGCTGCTTACTGGTGAACGGTTCTGTCTTGCTGATGATGGTTGCACTGCTAGGCCTTGCTCGAGTGAAGATCTTAGTCCGGGGATGTGGATACTGCAGCTTTATGCTGAGGCCACTTCTGTCTTGTCTCTCGGGGATGCTCGCACAGACCGACTTTGCAGTGCGGAAGTGACGTGAAGTATACAGTATACATATCTCCGCATGTATGTCTATCTGTGGATCTGTCTGTTTGTCGGTTTGTGATATGAATGTATAGCATCGGTATGTAACAACATTTGTTGTGCTACAAGTTCCGGACTAGGCTTCAATCACCACGCTCCTTCCCAGGGAAGTTTTCGTGGACGTCATCACCCCTTTCGGGGCCACTACGACAAGGACGATCCAGGCAGAGATTTGTGGGATCGCATTGGGGGCTTCCCAGAGCTGAGGGTATCGCGAGTTTGAAAAGCTCGGTCGTGGCTTTGCGATTTCTTTTCAATTTCAGGTGTTCTCTTTGCCGCCAAAGAATGCGACTGCCATCATCAACAGAAAGATGGACGCGCGCTCCTGAGATCACACCACGGTTGCAGGGGTGTTGGGGCACGCCTGTGTCCTTGGAGTAGTCAGGTACACTCACCTTGCCATTAAGGAAGCCAGAACGTCGGACCCGGAAACGGCCGTGAATACTCTCATGACCATCATCAACATCAACCAGGCTCAGTGAAGACAGGATCTTGGATGCTTTGTGCTCAGAGGCATGGGTCTGGAACCTGGACATAGAGCCTTGCAGGAGCCATGAGACATGTGTCCAGGGCCCATAGCCGGCAGCCTCAAGCAAATCGAACACCAGGGCCGTCGACAGGCAGAGTACCTGCGGAAATCGAAAAAAACCAGGCGCCGCCGTTGCCTCCCGGAGTTCCAGCTGCACCTGAAGATCAAGCAGTGCTTGAGCAGGCGAGGGTGAGTCTGTGCTACGTTGATGCCGACCGAACTCGCTTCCAGAAGGACGTGGCTTATGTCCACATGACCGTGCCAGGTCCGCGAAGTGATGATCCAGGCCACAGCCGCCGCCCCGGTGACCATGAACACGGCCACGAATCAGGCGCGCGCGGCGGGCCCGGGCGCGGGCACGCGGGCACGTCAGTTACATGAGGTTCTTTGCTCGCACGCGGCACCTCTGGGAGGCCGTCGTGACCAACTCGCTGATCGACCAGGGCCTCAAGGAGCCCGGCCCCGCCGGCCCAATAGGGCCAGACTTCGCTTTCTGAAAGCTTGTTGCTGTCATCGTGTCATCACCACATACTTGTACCCTCAACAACTGCTTGAATTGCTCAGGACACCGTATTTAGGCTTACACCTTCCAGCTTTGAAAGGCTTGATATTCTGACTACTCGATAGCTGCTTGGTCTCTCCTGATGCCTTCCTCGCTGTGGCCGGAAGGCCAAGAGGTGGTCAAACCTACTTGCCGGAGGGCTCGGCGTTCGCCGCTCCGGTATATGCGGACGTTGGTGCGTACCGACGCTGTTTCCGGCGCTTTCTGCTTTCCGTCTCGTATCTGCAGCGGGCCTCGGCCCCGTGCGGCGGCGGTGTAGTACAGCATCCCATCGTACAGTGTATGTTGCTTGTTGATTTCAGGTATTGATCCTATACGTATTCTGTTTTTTCTGATTGATTATTCGTGCTTGCCAGTAAAGTCTTGCGTAAGATGCGGGCTGGGGGGTGCCAAATTGGAGTCTTTTTCAAAGGGTGTGGCAACACTATGGGGTTCTTGCTAATCCCATCCCATTTACACGATGCACGCGGGGCTCGTCTCCCGTTGTGGCGCGGTGCATTCCGATTGTCCCGGTCGCTGTGTCGCGGGTGCATGGTCTGATGATCACTGGAGTGTTCTGACTGGAGAATGTGTCCGGTGGGTGTCCCTCTGTGTCCCTCTCTTCGCCTCAACTCCAACGTGTGGCGCTGGCGCTTCCAGGGCCCGGCGGTCTCGGTCTCGGTTGTATCACAGACCGCACTCAAAGTGCTCTGACCAGACGGCGCATGTAGAAAGGACGTTTAAACTCATCTAATGCATGTGACAGGAGGAGAGGCAACGTCTAGAAGCACGTGCATCCGCATATCGAGTGTGTAGAATCGTATGTAATCGTGTGCTCTGACCGCATCCGGCTTACAGACCCCCCGAGCTAGCATTGCAACAAAAGCTGGGGAGAAGTAGTTGAGGTTGGGGCTTGAGAAGCTTCCTTGCGAGGACGTTGAGTCCATGAATCTCCTGGAGGACCTGGTGCAGAGGTCGGCATCTGCAGGCCCTGCATCTTGCGGAGCGAAACCAACATCTTCGTCGTTTTCGTGGATCCTTCGTTCTGGCAGACGAATTAGGCTCCTTCCTTCCATCTCGTTGAGGCCTCTTCGACATCAACGACCCCTCCTTGATCACGGCACGGGGCTCGGACCAGCTGGACCGACGGGTAGGACTTTCGACGTGAAGCTGTTGTTTCTTTCTTTGATTTTAAAATCACGGGGGTGAGCTGTCGAGAGGGGCAGAGGAGGAACACGACAATGCTCTGAGCCCTAAGACCTGCCTGGTCGCCATTGGCAACATCCTTCCCGACGATGGCGCCCCGACGGCGGCGGCACCAATTGGAAGGCCGCTGGGTCGCAGGATAGCAAAGTTTAGTGTTCGGGGCGACTCTGGTGTTCAGTGAAAATGTGGGGTGGATGGCGCGTGCCATTATGGCCAGGACGTCGCTGTTGAGCATGTCTCACGACGTTCGTATGTAGGTCATACTCAACCCTCATCCAAGGAGCGTCGGCATGCAAGCGTGCGGAACTGAGCTACCTTTCGGGTGCCAGCTGAGCTTTCAGCGGTTTGAGGACGCTTGCTGACATCCTTGCTCATAGGCCAGTTTCGAAGAGTTTCAAGGGATGTAAGCAAATTCTGCTTCACTGCTTCGGTTTCATCGGGTGGTGTGTTGTCTTTAAAGGGATCCTGCAGAAGGAATATGGTCTTCAACACTGTTGCTCGAACGGCTTGCATGCATGAGTCTCGTCTCCAAAATGTTGCTGGCTATCTATGTCATCTATGTTGCAGGAGGAGGCACAGGCTAAGTTTTTGCATGCGGCGTTAGGGGTGACCGCAGGGTTTTTGTAGGTTTTTGCATGTTTTCAGGCTTCGGGGGGTAGGGGAAAAGGGGGCCGGGGGTGGGGGGGGGGCTTAATGACGAACCTGTTCTACTCTTAGCAGTTCTACTGCTGCTGATGCCTGCTGCCCTTTAGTGCTTTATGTTCAGACTAGCTCTCCTACTGCTGATGCCTCTGTTGCCCTGGGAGCTTTGGCACACAAAGCGAGCAAAGCGCGGTAAACAAGTCTCCTAGAGTTGCGTGAAGCCCTGAAGCTCGTAACAACAACCACAGACTTCTGTGAAGCCTTCAAGCTCAAAACAACAAGAAGAAGAGCAGCAACAACAACAAGAAGAAGAACGAACGACCACCACCACCAGCACCACTACCACAACCACCAGCACCAACACCACCAGCACCACTACCACAACCACCAGCACCACCACCACCGCCACCACCACCACAACAACAACAGGACAAAGCACAAAAAACAGCCTGATAAAGTTTTCACTTCAAGGTGCTCGAACGGTGTGTTGCGAAAATGCCACGCCAGCCAGTGTTTTCTACACATTGGTCTTCAAAGTCGCGGAAAAAACGACACTTTTGATTAGTGGCTCCGCAAATTTCCAAACACAAATACGCAAAAATGCAGAAAAAACAACATTTCCCTGAACACTGTGCAAACCCTCAATGCGCTGTCGCCGCGCGGTCGCGGTTGACGCCGCAACCAAGTTTTTGCCCCGAACTTGACCAGAAACCCCCTACGAGAGCCCTCAGATTCCAAATTGAACCATGTAGCCTCTACCCACAGGCCTTGATACTGTCATGTTGCTGTCGAGTGACAATGCCTCGAACACTCCGCGAACTCGTGAGCTTTGAACGTCAACATGATAATCTTGATCATGCTAGTCATGATGTTGGTAAAGGGATCCTGTGTATGCGGTGCACCTCAATTAAGCCCTTGCAGGTACAGCATGGTCAGCCCACTCGAAGAGCTCACATACGCATCCCGGTAGCACTACTTTGCAGTGTCTTCTTCGTCGGGCAAGAATGTCTGGGCTGTTGGCTGATTTTGCAGGGCTTCGCGTGGCCCAGTGCGGAGCACTTCGGCTTACACAATTGTGACATGCGAGGAGTACCAAACCGTGCGTGCCAGTGACGAGGAGCTCATCGCCAGGCGGAGAAGTGGCTGTGAAACAAAGTGTGAAAGGTTTCGGAGCAGCAAGGCCTCGGTAAACGAAGTCTGGCTAACAGTGTTGCAAAAGCCTGAACTGCCGTAGTGCTCAAGCCCGCACCGAGTCTCAAGACTGTCTGAACCCTAATTGTCGATGCAGAGACGGATCATTGTCGAGTTGGAAGTCTAGAGTGAGCGGGCTCTCAGGTCCTTCATGTCGCGCAGGCGTCGTGAGTTCACCGGGCCTTCATTAAATCTAGAATGTAGAGCTACAAATCTTAAATTCCTCTGAACTGCCTGCAGAGGCGAAGGCTCTTTCTGGGGAGGGATTTGGGGGTTCCCTGCTCCGCCCTGCAGTCAAGTGCTCAGCACCATCAACGGCCGCCAGCCGCAGAACCACCCTTTGCCATTCAGAAGCCCGCAGCCCAGTGCGGGTGGGTGGAAGGTGAAAGCCGAAGTCTTGGGTTTGGTGGTAATTGGGACTTTGGGTTTCTTCTGTTGCCAAGTGATGTTTCCCGGCAAGTGCGGATTTTGCGGCACGCCCCTTTCACAGAAATGAACAGCTGTGTGTATTTCAAGCTTACATAACTCCTTGAAGCCCACAGATCTCATCAGCCCAGCTTCTCTGAAACTCTGCTCAGATGAGCGCGTGATCGACAAGTGCGAGTCGGCCTACTGCGACATGATCTGGCTGCTCTGTGCCTGGGCATGTGCTTAACCTGGTCTGTGCCGGCAGCACAGCCTCACATGCCCTTCCTTTGTTATGTCGGCCAGGCATCCATCAGGACGGAACGAGGACCCTGAAGTTCATGTGCTGTGATGCGTGGCGGGCCCCAGGTTTTTGCCCCGCTCCTTGAGCTTGAATATCCTAGACAAGGCCGCACACTTTCAGTCAGTTACCCACCAGCTCTACCCGTTTATCTGCCCTGCGCATGATAACTCCGCTGCACCAGCGGCTGCTGTCCTCTGCTGTTGAACCCAAAAGCCTCAACCCCACCCTTGGCCCGAAGCTTCCAACATTCGCAAGCTCCCAACCAGCCAGTTGTCAATTTCAGGCCTAACCCTGCCACCTTCTGCGACAACCCGCCGTGCTGGTTCTTTGGCAATAGGCACGCCCGAGGTCTTGAATTTATGGCAAATTTATGGACTCTTTGTAGCTGCGTCTGCGGCCTGCTTTCATGCCAAGCCTGCCTAGCAAGCCCAAGACCCAAGAGTTGCAGGTGTCCAGATACCGGCACGGCGGGTAGCTTGGAGTCTCCCTCTGCCTCGGCGGCTGCGCTGGCTGCTTCACGAAGGCCAGGCTTGGATCTTTGAAGGTGACAGCATTCGAAGCTTTGCCCCTCCATGCTTTTGCTCATAGAGCTCTTCGTCTAGGGCGGTGTTAAGGAGCTCTGCAGTCTCTGTGGAAGCAGGGGCTTAAACTGTGTCTCATCGCCTGAAACATCGCCTTCCAGAGCTCCATGCTTGGCAGGCTCAAAGCGCTGGAGAACATGACGTCCGCGGCTGACCCTCTCTTTTTGGTGTGGCCTGGGGGTTAAGGGCTTGCAGGCAGCTGCTGGATCATAGCATATGATTTAGGGCCAGTCGTCGGATCAACGTTCTTGCCCCTCATGGTCTTGTTTGGTCACAGCCGCCGGGCTCCCCAGAGACAGAGCCACGTCCGTGATCCCTAAACCCAATCCCAACACTTACACCCGCGCCTGAACCTGAGCTTTCAAAGTTCTTGCGACTCCCAGGGAGCGACACCTCCAGGCAGTGACTCGGCAGGACCACAAGCGACTCAGATCGGGGTGGTTAGTTAGCCTTCTGACCATAGAGGGAACCGCTTAAGCAGTGTACTTCTTTGATTCTGCAGCAGTGCTTCGATCTCCAGAGCACGTCTGCCGACAAACGTCTCATGGTTGTTCATCGCTCAATGTTGCGTCAAGTCCATCTTGTCTGCCAAGATCACCACGACTATACCGACACCAGCGCCAATATCTGTCATACACCCAGAATGTTTGATCTGGGGGATCCGACAGGGACAGGTTTGCTGACCCTCGAGGTGATTTCGTCTGCTGGCTGTGGGGGTCTAAACCAGGTTAGTGCCCTAAACTGGCTTTCAGGTTGTGCCACATTGGTTAGGTCATAGGTGCGACGGTTTTCGGGTTGAGACTCCCTGGTCATCGCGACAAATACTGCATCAGCCCTCCGCTGCTCTTGAACAGAGCAGAGAGCGGTGCTTCAAGAAGTTGCGCTCTTGCATTGTCCCGGAAGCTACTAACATCCAAGGCAAGCAGGCAGTGACGAGAAGATCTCAAGGAGTCACCCTTCCATTGCCACGTCGACAGAAGCCCCCTCTCAGGGCGCGGGCGCTTTGCTGGTGAACCTGGAGAATGTTCGGAGCTCAGCGGCTGCTTGCTTACCAGCCCCCTTCGGCAAACAACTTCGGACGGGAAGCGTTCTTCTGCAGTGATCCCGCAAGGGATTTCAAAAAGCTCTGGTATGTACAAATGTCAATGTGCTTCGTCCGCTATTATCTGCGCGCATCTGTAGAATCTTGAATCGACGGAGCTTTGCACTCCCTACTCAGACTCAGATCCATCTTCACCCAAAGCCCCCCCTGCCCGCATCGCATTCGGTCCGGTCCCAACCCACCACTTCGCCGAGTCCGAAATTCCGATCCTGAACGACGTGCGAGTTGCGATCCAGCCGTCAGCTCAATGTGCAAACAGGTTTTGTGAGTTTCGAGAGCTTAGAGATGCTTGGCGTTTAGAGGCGTTTAGCCATTTTTGCAGTGGTTCATCTGATCGCGTCTCGGCGATTGGTCCAGAACAGTCCGTCACGCCCTCTTTGCAAGCTGGCCTGGCATGTGTTCACAGGTTCCCGACTATGAGCCATGCAAAAGACTATTTCGAAGAGACAAGGGGGACTGTCCTTACAATGTGCAAGACGCAGTCTTGATCCCCGCCAAGCTCCCAAGCTGACGAAACCGGACTCCAAGCCGACAAAACTCCCAAACCAGTCCTGTCTTAGCTGCTCCTAAACCTTCTGCAAACTTCTTAAATCCTTCAGGCGCCAGGAGATCGAGAACGCAGCGAGGCTGAGGGCCTCGGCACAGATGGAGGCCGTGGGCCGAGGGTTTGGAAGCTTCGCCAAGTTTAAGACTTAAGGGTTTCCACTTTCACATGAGGCTTAAGGTTTGATGGGTTTTTAGGGTTTAGGGAATCCGGGACAAGCAACTTGTTGTCATTGGGCTTCGTCGGCCCTTGGTGGCGCTCTTTTTGCCCAAGCATGTGCGATGATAGACGAAGGAGCCGCCATGCAATCTGCAAGAAAATTGAGCTGCAACACCTTGGCATAAGGGGCCGACCGACTCGCCCGACCGTTTACTCCCGGCATAGCAACAAGACTCAGTTCGGTTCGGAAGCACCTAGCCGGGCCCTGCACTTATGGCATTCAGCCAGAGTGACAGCCCAGACACAAGAGCTGGCAACAGCCTTTCGACGCTTTTCAGTCGCTGCCCGAGCCCCGATGGCCACGGATGTGGTAGAAGTGGCGGTCGGGGAGTATGTGGAGGCCGCCGGGTGAGGTCTACTAGGTTCGGCTACTGTCTACAGGGGCTTCAGGTTTCTCGAAAATGTCAGCACAGGCCGGAGGGATGCGGGTCCATGCTGTCGACGTTCTATGAAGCTCTTGCTTGTTGAAGGTTGCTGCATCGTTTTGGCTTGGGGGTCGGTTTCGTGACACTCCCCAGGCGTACTGGCCGGACGATGACCAGTGGCTGCCGGCTCACATTTCGGATGCCTGGCTTGTCCATGCTTGTCCAAAGGGTTGGGCCAGCTTCAGACTTCAGGGCAGATGAAGCCTCTCACCGGCATCCTGTTGGGAAGCGCAACGGTAAAACATCAGCGGAGCTAAACAAACTGGGGGCAAGCCGAGGCGATCTACGACGATGGATCGCTGAGCATTACTTGGGAGGCGGGGGGGCGTTTGCGCGGTTCCATAGGGGCCTGAGCAGACAACTCGCTGATTGGGAGGTCCTCGCATGCTTGGCCCTGAAGGGACACGGCACCCTCAGATTGGCAGTCTGACTGGCCCTGCGAAACTGCGCCCGGGAACTCCCCAGAGTCCGCAAAGTCACCGGGACCCCATCCTTTCGATTCTCAGTTTTGAATGACAGCAACTGCAAGCCAGGACGGCTCCCTCAGTGATGTGACCGCGGACTTTGTCCGCAAGCCCGCCGCGGAGGAGGCGTTTGTGAGTTGGGTTATTCTGTGGTTAGTATGAACAGGGCAGCAGAAGGGATCGGCCACGCAGTGATAAAGATCATGCACACCGCGCAGTGGTCTGTCTCAATCTGCAGTGTAGGGCCCGACACGCAACGACTGCATGCAGAATGCAGCTTGGTGCGCTCGCGTAGTTGTTGCTGACTGGAATTGGCAAACAGCAGCGGCACGAGCCGGCACGAAGGATGAGTTAGGAACAAGAAGATGAGAAAAGTTGCATGGCAAAGGGCCTCTACCAGCGCAGCAAGCGTGCAAGCGCCCCTTTCCACCGGCAGCTCCGGGGAATTCATGGCTCACGGATTCCTGCTTGAAGGGGGTTTGATTCTAGCGGGACGGCGGGGCATCGCAGCACATGCCCAGTTCGGAGGATCAGTGCCAGCCTCTGTCAAGCCGCTCCGCGGCAGGGGTTAGCAACCCGCTCCCCTCGGACGAGGGCCCCCGCAACTTCAGGGAAAAGTCTATGATGATCGTGTAATTAGCATAATTATTACTCCTACTACTACGGCTACTACGGCTACGACGACGACGACGACTACTACTACTACTATTGCTACTGCTACTACTATTACTACTACTACTACTACTACTACTAATAATAATAATAATGATAATAATAAATAGTAATAGTAATAGTAATCATCACAATATAATGCTAGCAATAATAATAGTAATAATTACAATAATAATAACAATAAGAATAATCATAACAATAATAATAATAATGATAATAATGATAATATTGATAATAATAATCATAATAATAATAGTAATAATAGTAATAGTAATAGTAATAGTAATAGTAATAGTAATAGTAATAGTAATAGTAATAGTAATAGTAATAGTAATAGTAATAGTAATAGTAATAGTAATAGTAATAGTAATAGTAATAGTAATAGTAATAAGTAATAGTAATAGTAATAGTATGATAATGATAATGATAATGATAATAATAATGATAATGATAATAATATTAATTTTGTTCGTAATATGACTACTAGTGTTAGTCTTAGTATTTGTCATGAAGAGTATTCATACTAAGGGTGATGATGATGATGATGATGAGAATAAGTATAAATGCGGTGGTGGTGGTGGTGGTGGTGGTGGTGGTGGTGGTGATGGTTGTGGAGGCATTTCTTGGGGGGCTGTTGGTGGTGTTGGGAGGCATTTTCGGGACGGGGGGGTGGTGGGAAAAGTAAGGGCGGGTGGTGGTCACACGCCCCCCCAGCTTCAAGCTACCAGCCCAGACTCTGCAGTTCAGGAGCTTGCGGAAGGCGGAGCAGATGGTGTTCAGGAGGTGACCGAAGCGGCAACCTGGCAAACTGGGCTTTGAGATAAGCCGCGGGTTTCGATGCAAAGCATGCAGTAGTCGCTCGAGCCATGCGTGATCTGCTGCAGAGGCTATCTCTTTCTTGTCTTTTCTCGGTCCTTGCTGGTGTTTGAGCCGCAGAGAGCTTCACTGGTCTCCAGCAAGCCGACAGTGACCCGAAAACTCGGGGGCCTTTGAAGCGCCTGGATCCTGGCACTGCCAACTCCAGCACTCCCCGACAGACTCGTCTGCGGAACATCTCAGCCCGAGGCTCCTGAAAGCGACATGGACGCGCTTCTCGCAGCTGCAGAAGCCGCGGGCGCGTGCGACGCAGCGGAGGTGGGTTCCAAGAGTTGAGACTTTGGTAGCCCCCCTTATGCTGCAAACGCATCCGACGACGCTTGCACCACACTGCTTTGCACACCGCTCTGCTCCTGTGCTAAAGACAGGTACCGTGCCCGTCTCCAGAAGAGCCCCTAGCCCTGAGCCTCTCCGAGCCTCAGACTCCAGACTCGGCCACCGTCCCGTGGCGGAGGACTTCGTTGCTGGTGCCCGGCCGCCAAGTGCTCTGTACTGGTCCAACACCCTGAAAGGCGAGGCGCCTAAGGCGGGCCTGGGTGCTGATGAAAGAACTTTGGGCTTGCAGCACTTTTTCGGGTTCATAGCAAGACTCGCAAAAGCTGGGGTATGCGAGTCCAAGTCTTTGGAATGTGGATGCACGATGCATCACACACGTTTTTTGCAAAGCTCGACTTGCTGGTGTCTGATGAAACGTGGATTCCGGAGACTCTAGCAAAGCTGAGCGGGTCTATGTGCATGACCGGCTCTTGTCAGTGAGATCTGATCTGCCACAACACTGTTGCAAAGTGCTCCCGCATTCGGGACTTGCCTCTGGCACCCTGTCCACCTGCCCCTGGCATCAAACCGCCGTCCTTCACAACACTCAATGGCTCAGACGGTGCTGCACCACTTCTGCAGGGATTGGCATTGGAGCCCGTAGCACCGGTCACACTGCCATCATCAGCGCCACCATCAGCTTCTTCAATTGTTTCTAGTTTCATCATCCTCTTCACCGTCATCACCATGCCTTGCCCCTTGTGTGAAGGCCCAAGTGAGTTCCACCCGGCAGCATGCAGCTTAACATAGACGACTAGCGGACTGATGGGACCAAGCCTTCCAGAAGGGTTATGTGGAGGCTTCGAGCTAGTTCTATTGATGTTTAGGACCCAAATTGCAAAGCCTGGCCTGGTAAATGAGAAAGCAGTTAGACAAATGAAAGCATTGAGAAATCAGCGAAAAGAGACGACGCAGAAAATGGAAGAGCATTACGACCACAATTAGAAATCGAGTTAGGAACAACGTAAGGCCAAAGCTTAGGACACGTATCAGGAACCACTAGAATAAGTTAGGAGACATAGTAGAAATCAAAGAAACAATAGAAGATTTCAGGCAAACGATTGTGACCGCCATAGGTATTTGGGTCTTTGTTTGGTTTGGCACCATTTTGTGTTCAATGTTTCTTAATTGTTGTTCTTCATATTGTTATTTACTTATTTTTGTTAGACTTCTGCCCATCTGTGCTTTGTGTGCCCTAATTAAGGGTTCTGTTTATTTGCGTTTTTTCTGCTCTACTTGGTTCTTGATTTGCCCGGAACTTTGGATATCGGTTTGAAATCACGCCATATTCATTCCCTGTTTTGGATTTTCTCCTTTTCCCACTGAACTCCTAAATTCATGGATTTTCTCCATTTCCCTTGAAGCCCTAAATTGATTATGTCAAGGTAAAGAAAGCTCAACATCCAAACCCAAAGCCCCCCGCGCGGAGCCCTGTGCTCCCGAGAGGATGAGGATGCCGAGGATGAGCGAAAACGATGCAGGCAGGTGGTGGAGCTGTTTCAGAGTTTTGGGAGCGAATGCCTTCAGAGGGTTGCCCATGCGAGTCCATCCCAGGCTTCACTCATTTCCACTCTGAGGCCCACAGGCCTCATGAGCTCGGAGGAGGCCCGGAGGATGGCCTTGGAGGCCAAGAAAGCGCGGACCAAGTGACCTGCAAAAGCTGAGGAACGTGCCCCGTGGAGTGGATGAATAGATCAACAGTGACAAAGAGGTGTTCTGTTGCCAAGTCTTTCCACATTCAAGCTTGCCGTCCTCGCTGTGGTTCAGTATTTGTCGACATATGCGATTGAGTCTGTATGACACGGGCGGCTCAAACATAGCAATGGCAACTAACGCCACTGCCGGGACCCTTCTCAAGCTTAGTCTGCAGGATCTCCCGAGGAAAGACTCTTCAGAGGAGCCATGCTGAGTACAGCCGGGTCGAAAATGAGTGCCTGCGGAACTTGCCATGTACTGTTTCTTTGCTTCAGGGCTTTTGCAGGTCAATTAGCCTTGGCAGTGTTTTGCGGAACAAGCACAAGAGATGCATTCCTCGCTAGGAGAGCCCGAAAGTAAACTATCTACTAGAAGCTTGGGCGGGACACCTCAAGATTTTACAGCTCCCAGCAACATGGTATTCAGACGTTGGCATGCCATGCTGCTGCTGTCATGTTCCGGGCTGTCCGGGGCTGTGTGTTGGGTTGTCCGGGGTCGTCGAAGTTGTTCTACGTACACGTCTATGTGTCATGTAGGGTTCGCTGCCAGGGCAAAGCCGCGAGGTCCTTATCCATCTGCCTGAGTTTGGGTTTTCTGTCGGGCGCTTCTGTCGCAGTAGACTGGAATTTTCAACACGCCCATCCAGGTGTCAAACAAAGGCCCTGTGTGGGCGGAGAACAATTTAGAGTACGCAGTTGTAAACCTACTCGTCAATGTTCTAAAACAGTCCGTCATCACATCTTGGCGTCTGGTACTGCGCAGTTGTACGTTGACCATTCCTTTCTCAGCTTGGTGCCAGGCCTTGTACGCCTTGGAGTCACCCTTCGATCGCGCCACGAAGAGGGCTGCAGCCCAGGCAGCAGAGGCGCGGAGTTTCACGGAGTACGGGTGGGCGGGCTCTACTCTTCGGCGGGAGCGAAGGCGTTTTTAAAGCAAGACCCGACCCTGGAACCCATCACGGCCGAGAGCTTCCAACCATGGGCAGGAGGCTGCAGAGCAAATGAAGAAGGAGGGCGAGAGGCCGCGGCGCGAGGGTCTGCCATTAGTTTGTGTAGGATATAGTATATATATATATATATATATATTTATGTATGTATGTAGGGTGTAGGGGTGTGGCCAAGTTTTCAAGCTTTCTGCTGTCAGTTGGGAGCCTCGAAAGGCAAGTTTCCCAGATCATCACTCGAGCTGCCGTGCTGCCGGGACACCCAGGAAGCTTCGTGAAGGTGCAAGGTTTCGGAATTTGGGGTAATGGGTGATGAATGTTTTCGCCATTTTGTGAACTCATAGAGAAAGCCAAAAGCGATGCGCCCGAGGCGAGATACGATCTGCAAGCAGGTCATCGTCCAGCTGACGACGGGAGCTGCTTGGTTTGCAGGGATTCTCCAAGACTGCCAGCGGGCTCCGTCTATTGCTGGCTGAAATTCTGCTGTTGCCAACGTCTATGGCGGAGTTCGGGTTTCGGGGGACCGGTGAGACCACTCTTCCCACAGAGGCCATACAAGTCCTTAAGTGTCTAGTGCCAGGCCCCGGGCCAGCAGAGCTAGTGTACCACAGCTCAATCTCCCGAGTCCCCGAAGCGGCTGGGCTCGAGCCGAGGCGCCACCCATGCGTTTCGTCACCCCGGGCTTCATCCTGCATCATGGCTCAACGATGCGAGCTATATGGGTGGTTGTCAAAATTATAGTCCCGCTTTGGGTCCCTATTATAATACGGCACCTAATAATTAGGGTACCCCAAAAGGGGCCATAATTTTGACAACCACCCATATACAACTGAATCATGGGCCAAACTAGCGCGTGGGGAACATTCACTACAGCGACACCACACTGTTTATGCTTCAAGGTTTCAGGATCCTTCCGGAATTTCAGCGGTGTGCTTTTCCGCGTTAATTCGAGGTTTTCACTTGAAGCGCTCAAGGCTGGAAGGCAGTGGAGACTTGCATGGGTTTATCCGTGAGCACCCGCAGTACCCTCACAGCTCAGGTACATTGGCCGGACGCGGAACATGAGCCAGGCCAGCGTTTCTGACTGTATTGAAAACAGATGCTAGTTGAAATGCACCGTCAAAGGTCAGTCCTGTCTTCGTCTTCCCGGACAAGTTTGCCGTGCCCCTGCCCCAGCTCTGCCGTGTGACCTGGAGTGTCGAGGCTCTCAAGCCGCCTTAAGCTTGTCTTTGAAAGCCTTAGTGTATGCAGTCTGCTTTGTAAAGTTCCCCCTGGTTCCTGTATGTGTGTCGTCCCTTGCATCTACTGCGAGCCGTCCAGACGATCATCGAAGCCGTCCTGCGCCTCCACATGGGCTTCTCTTTCGACTTTCTATCTCTGACTCAGGCAGCGAGTCTTTTGAAGCTGAGGCTTGTGTGATCTCGAATCCCGGGCCATGTGATCGCTCAGATACGCTGATTTAGCGGAGTGAAGTCTCAAATGCAGGCGTCCTAGTCCTAGTCCTCTCCATTTCCCTGCCTAGCACCTCGAAAGCGATTGTCGCATGTAATTTGCTTTCTCCTGTATGGGTCTGGAGTCATCTGGAGCATTGTGATTCTCTTTGTGTCCATCAGCCCCGGACGTGGACCTTCCTTTAGCTCTACCACTGCATCCCAGGCCAGCAACTGCCGGCAATACGCCCACTCCAGGTGCATGTTTAAAAACCGTATTTAAGCCGGCTCAAGCTGCAAGCTGACGGTTTGAAGGTCCAGGATTCATAAACTGCGGATGATTTCGGTTTTCATCCGATTTTCGTGGACCACACCCACGCCAGGATTCAAGAGATTATTGCTCTGCCAGGGAGCAACGTGACAGCCTTCTCGTTCATCTTCGTGGAGTACAGGAAGCTCAGCTGCACCTGCGCTTCCCGACATACCGAAATGCCGACACCCTGAAGCAAAGGCCATCAGACCGCTGCGCTCCGATTCCAAAGCTGTAAGCCCAACTCCAATCGTGAGCGCTTCAGAACTCAGCAATTTTTTGCCAGTGCCAGTAATGCTTTTCATTTTCACTTTCTGAAGTTTCAGACGGTACCATTGTGTTTGCATACAGTGCGCGAGCCATGCGTGTTGATTGCGAACTCACAGCGAAGACTAGTTGTATGCATTGTCGATCGGTTTCCAAGTTGGAACCCACGGCACCCCAGCATCTGCTTACTTCACGCAGTATCCTCATGCAGACTTGCATAGGTGAGTTTCGCAAATGCCGAATTTGTCAAGCCTTCGATCGCTGACCCCTATTGCCTTCGACTGGCATCTGCTTAAAGTTTTGCGTAAATGCATTTTCTCGCACACGAGCACATGGCGACGCGCTATGCTAGGCCAGTTCGTGTTCAGATAGATCTGTAAGTGGTTTCCACAGTTCGAATCGAAGTCTTCGAGGCGTCAACACACAGGCTGCAAAGCATCCGGGGTCCTAAGTATTTCAACATCCTAACAACCCTTGAAGCAGCCAACTCGAACCTTAGCCTGTGCCCTCTGCCCGAGGAAGAACATCTATGGCTGGTCGGATTCCGCACCCCCAGGCTGGAGACCCGGAAGGCTCGTGTTCAAGGCCTTTTCCTCAGCTAGAGCCTTGACGTTGCTGAGGCAACCAAACGCGGATCATCACACTTCTCGCGCCGCGCTCGGCTGCGGGTAACTAGCCTCTGATTGCGTAGTGTAGTATTGCCACATGATGACATGATGCCAAAAGCAGAGTAGAGAGCGTCACCTTTGCAATTCATTCCTCAGCAATCTGCAGGCATGTGCAGGCCATTTTACATTAGTGGCTGCGAGTCTCAGATGTTTCAGATTGTTTTATCGGCGGCTGGCGTGGAAGCTTGAAGCCGTGCAAAGCGCGTGGGTACTAGAGGCAGTGCAGATGACCCAAGCATCCCAATCTCGCAGCCTGCAGACTTCCTTGGTCGAGGTGATGAGGGCCAGTACCATCGAGATCGAGGCCTTTACGGGGGTCTGCAATGGCTTTGCCGTGTCAGACTTGCTTTCGAGCCTCATCGGGTCACACACTGCCGCACAAGAACGAGGACTGAACGGGATAGACGCACGAATTCTCAGGGGGGGACGTCTTCGGGCATGTGGGGGTCAGCTGTGAGCGGCAGAGGTCATTGATGATTTTCAGCGCGTGGGCACAGGTGCGCAACGAGATTTTCCCCATCCGTGTTTTCGCAGATCGGCTGGAGCCTGAGGCGTTTAGCCAGGAGATGAGTTGATGGCAAGGGAAGAAGGGGAACCTCGAGCTCAAAATTCCATTCCTGAGCCGATACCCAAAGATGCTTAAAGATGTATCGCCAGACCAGATCACGTCGGCTCCTCGGCTGCCCTCCCTCTCCCCACCTCCCCACTCCCCGCGAACCGCTGACAGCCTCCAACAAGGACGCTGTACTCGGCGGGTCTCTGCATGTACTGGGACCGCTTCGCTGCTGACAGCGCGGGCGGAGCCTGGTCCCCTCAGGCGTCAAAGCAGACATGCACATGTTTTACATGCTGCAGCATAATGCTTCCCACCTGTGTGTATGTAGATGCACGAGTTTTTATTTATGCCCATGGGCACGGCTTGTTGTGTGCATGCACATTGATTACATATTCGGATACATTAGAGCAGACTCACCGTTGAACATCAAGAGCTACGTGGAACCAGTCGTTGTGGCCAGGGACTCCTAAATGCGGGTGACGGCTGCCTGACTACACACCTGTCGGACATCGGTGACTTGGCTGTGGTACTTAAAGCTTGGGGTCTGGGGTTTGGGGCTTAGGTTTGGAGCGGTTTGGGCGGGTTGAGTTCGGGAGCAAGCGGTGGTTGCACGTGAAGGTTGAACTTCGGGGCGGGATTGTTTCGGCCGAATGATCACGACGCCTGAAAGGGGAACGGTTTCTTGAACTTGTTCATGCATGTTCTATCAAATTATGTTTGGGGCCTTATTGGCTCTAGTGAGTTGTGGTTGCTAGCGGAAGTTTTCGAATTACATGCAGAC